ACGCACACACAGACACACACTAGACACATCAACCAGGGCGGTGGTCAATGGGGGCACGAATGACATTGCAAAGGATAGACCTGATCCTCACACCAGAACTAACCCAAGCCCTTACAACGACACGGGGCAACACAAATGGCACACATGGCTTTCGTGTATGCACCCATACATCACCCATACGGGACCTGGCGGCCATCCCCCTTCTCCTTGGCTTTTCTACGAATGCAATCAAAAGTTTGCCTCAATACTGCCCGACCTTGGATATCACTGGGTAAACACACGCTGCAGCATGGCACTATCGATTTCCCCCACGAAATGCTACGGTACCGTCTTCCCCCTCTCCTCCACGTAGTCTTTCGCCCCCGACCACCCCTCGTCGTCGCCTCCATCAAATTCGAGGCTGGTCTAACTCCGGCCACACATCTTCATCCTATAACCACTTCATTCAAATATCGAATGACAGATTCACGCAGATCAGGCTGTTTTCTAGGCGACCCGAACACCAAAAGCAGTGAAATATAGCGGAGCTGAGATGAAGGACTCGCTTAGACTTGTCGATCCGTCAGGCTGGGCGATGAAGCATACTCTGAAGTAATGGTTAGGCCTCACTACGTGCTCTGTCAGTGTGGCTAGTGGGGGCTGAAAGACACACTCGTCAGCCATCGAGTAGGTCGATGCGCTCAAACTGCTTCGATTCGAGATATTTCTGATGGACGGGTAAATAATCAAGCCGTAGGCTGACACTGTCTTCCCTCCCCTCGCAATCCACGCTCCGCACCAAGTCTCTTCCTGTCCCATTCAAGCAATCACATCGTCAACAAGTGTGCTAAGCTCAATGGCACCTAGAACAGGTAAAGTTCAAGTTATTTGCTTACCTGCATCTTTTTTGCCTTCATCTCTTCTCCCCACGTAAGCTCGGGTAAAGTCTTGGTAGTTATTGCTCCCCTTGGCAGCTCGGAGACAGGTGCCGCGCGGGTGAGCTAAGGGGGTAGGGGAACTAACTGACATCTAATCAGGTTCTCGCTTCAGCTCTAGTTTACATTATCCTTGAAGAGCCGGTCCCACCACATGGTATTCCCGAACCCATCGCCCGAGGGCTCGGCCAAGCTCGTCATACGTCGTAGTGCAGCAAACAATTTTTGGAGTTGCTTTGGCGAAAGGTGTTTTCTCCGGTATTCGGGACAAGTTTCCCCGTTCCTTGCTGCCAGGTGTCCAAGTAAAGTGTCGCAATGTCTGATAGTTTCAGCTGACTTGACCACGATAATTGCGTGCGTTTCTTCGATGTTACATATGGAGTGGTGTGTCGTTCGGAGGCTCCTCGTATATGGAAGGTGAACACAAAGAAAACCGTTGTAATCGCGCTTCAAGACATGCATCGTCCGGAGAAACAATTCAAATTGCAAAAAACAAGCACGACACTGGCCGTTGAGATGTCGCAAACGCACGATGTAGGTCGAGACATGCCCTCTCGCCTGCTCGATTAGGTGTTATCATTAAAACTATTTGCCTCCTCCAAATGTTCCAAGCCCTCTCTGCGTCCACATGCCAATGCGTTCTAACTGTATTTTAACGCTTCTGCTGCAATGCAAATGATTCCAATCCCTCCCCAGCTGTATCCCAGCTTCTCGGCCGTAGAGATCGTAAAGGTAGGTGGTAGCTGGTAGCCAGGTAGCAGTGCGTCCGCGCCGACAGCCTTGGCGTCTCTCGATAGACTGCGCGACGGTCGTTTCTACCGGTTCCATAGCCCGACCGACCGAAAAAAAACAATAATATGTGAATCAAGGTTTGCAAAGTTTGCCCCTCATGTTCGTTGTCATCTTCTGCGCGATATATTGCAGAAAAATGATCTGTACGGGGACTCCCCCGGGCTGGAGGGGGAGGTCCCCGAGGATCGACCATGCTGTGCGAGTATGGCGACCAGCCTCAAGCTTAGATGCAGGCTGGCAATATATGCTGCACTAAACAACACAGCCCGATCAATTGCATGTTCCGAAAAGCGACTGGCAGCCTGTTCCGCAGTGCGTCGCAGAGTTGCCACTGTAATATTCTCATCAGCATGCCGACTTATTGCGACTAATTGTTGCGGATGGACCAGGCCCGAAGGCCAGGGTCAACAGGGAGGAAGAGAAAAAGTGTAAAAAAGCATACCAGTAACCATACTGAGAACAGCAAGTCTTCGTGCCGTAGTTCTTGCAAGTGGCATTCCACTGGCTTCCGCAGAGACCATTGGAAGATTCGGTCACAGCCGATGACGGGGGGGAGCAAGATCCAAAGCCTGATTGGCAGCCTGTTCCGCAGTATGTAAGGCTTGAGCCGCTGTGTTAAGGGGAGCATGTCAGCCGTATCATTCATGGCGTCAAAGGCGTCCAGAGGCTTACCAGAATCCATAGTAGGAGCAGCAGTTGCCAAACGCTGAGTTGAGGCACGTGTAACCCGTGTTACCACCACAGGTCTGGTCCGGTGATACGTTGGTCGAAGCAGGGACGCTTGACGACGATGTGCGAGTTGCGACGCTGGTTGATGTTGTGCTAGACGTAGCTCTGGTCTGTAGCGATGATACAGGCGTCGAGACCGCGGAAGTGGGCACCGAGGTTGTTGTCGTCGTCCTCGTCGTGCCGACTGCGACGCCGGAGCTAATGGCGCCACCCGCTGACCGGTACCAGTTTTCTCTGGGGTCATTGAGACACTCTCCTACGGTCACAAGGCGATAACCACGCGCCTTGGCAGTATCAATCATGAACTGGGTCAAGTTGACCACGGTCTGATAGTGCACATCATGGGACAGCTCGATGTACTTGTTTGCTGCCGCATTTGTTGAGACACCATTGGAGAAGCGGTCCTTGGCGGTCTGGATCTCTTCAGGCGAATCATACATGTAGTCCTTGGTGTCGATATTAACGTTGATGATGTGGTAGCCGAGCGTCTTGAGCAGGTTCTGACATCCTGACCCGGCGTCACATTCAAGGAATGGCGGGCGTATGTAAGTGGGAATCCAGCCGAATAGGTTTCGGAATGCCATTTCGTTGTAGATGATCTCAGTTCTCTGGATGGTGCTATTGACCTCGTTCAGGTTGCGGTGGGTCCATGTATGGCTTGCAATATGGTGGCCGGCGGCGTACATTCTTTGCATTACGGCCGGCCAAGGCGTATCGGGGTTGTCCATCCGGTTCTTGCCAATGTTGTTGCCGGCGACAAAGAAGGTGGCGGTGATGTTCTGGGCCTCCAGGATGTCGAGCAGGTTGGAGGTGTAGATGTAAGGGCCATCATCATAGGTCAATGCCAAGGTTCCTGGGTTGGCGCAAGTGGTGATGATTGAGCCTAGACGGATATGCAAGTTAGGTCCGTCCCACGATGCATAGGCAGATGAACACACCATAAGGCACGGAGCCCACGAGGGGCCGCGCGATACTCTCTGTGCTAGCACCAGGTGGCGGGAAGCTTTCGAGGCTTGGTTAGCAACTGTGCGGCACAGTGGAAACTTCGACCGACGTGAACTTACAAGGTATCGCAAGAGTCGCTGTAATCAAGTTGGCATTGCGAGCCGCCGCAATAATCTGCCGTCGTTCCACACCAGCCGGCTTCTGAGCAACACTGGCCCGGATCACAGGACCCGATTCCGGGCCCGCACTCGGCGCGCTTTCTCAGGGGAGCGTTTATAGTGGCGGCCATGGCCGCCCCTGAAAGGAGAATAGGCAGAAGCGCATGCATAGCTAGAGAATGTGAGGCAGTCTGCAAGGCAAAGAGGGTATGATTCCGACCGATCGACGCTGCGGGCAAGATGGAGAATAGGTTCCGGAATGATTCAAAGAAGGCGAAGGGCGGTATTTACGAGAGATTCCTCGACGATAATGACTGGTCTTCGGCTTTACACTACGAAGATGGATATTGCTCCTACAGACCTGCCAAGGACGCCGTGTTGAGTCCAGTCCTTCGGGTTGTATTGACAGAGAGGGCAAGAGTAGGCTGGCTGAGAGCGTGTGACTTGGCAGCTGGATCAATGGCGCTGGCCAAGCGCATATAATGGCATTCCTCAGGTCAAAGATGGATGGAGTCAGACGGGAGAAACGGCACTTGCAAAGGTAGGCTGGCACCTTCAACCCTCTCGATACGAGGCGGCGCTTCGTCAGATCGTGGGCTAAGACTCCAATATTCAGCATGACATTGCGTCCTACGATCCTCTAGATGGCTGAATCCATGGCTTCGGACCCAACTATTCGTACGCGACCCCAGCATGACTACATGCCAGACATTGACGCATGGGCTGTCGACAGGTGGCATACGAGTTGCGGAGCCGTGAGAGCCGGGTTAGGTGCGCCGTACGGGAAGCTCGCGGGGTCGAAGAGATGAACCCATATGAGCTTTCACCCGATCACGGCCCCGTTGTGCCCGACTAAAGGCTGGGATCGGCAGATATTGCTCGTGTACGAGGCCAGCCGTCCAACAGCCGGACGGTGAATGGTAGACAAGGTGTGCGTTGGCAGGCTAACGGTGAAAAGGAAAATTTTTCTCCCAATTGAGTATGAAATGGGCTGAGTGAGACCAGACTTATTGGGCCCTTGCAGACTTGGAGCTGCAGAAGCTGGGCAATAACGTATCCAGTCAGGCCAGCATGCCAACCTCCAGCCAGACAGACCGAAGATCCACTGCAGGTGCCCTGATGATAGATTGATGATGTGCTTTGTGAAAGTAACAGGGGCATACCTAGAGGAAGATCAAAGACCAGGGCTGGGATGTAACCGGGGGGCTGCCCGTGGGCGACGAGATGCCCCCGAACAGTCCAGAATCCCTGGATATGGGTGTATTCCCCCTGTCAATTATCCACATTGGATTATCCGAGGAAAACTTTGCTCTGTGTAAAGATGCGCATAACGAGATGAGAGGCGGGGAGTCATCATGGTGAAGTTCCTAGACACCCGTCTTTGTCTCTTCTCAAAGAAATTCGCTCGTCCAGGTTCCGTGTCCTGCGGCATCGATGTTCGAAATGAAACTTGACCGCGAGAATGGTCTCGCTGCATGACTTCGAAGACCAAGTCGAGAACAAGGATACGTTGTCTTTCATCTGCTTCTCTTCACCGTCGTATGTCGACCCCGAAAAGCTGGTGCGAAGATCGGAATCTTTCAGCAGACAACCCGAATGGACGGGCTTGTGTTTCCCCAAGCTGGTCAGGCTTGTCCTCCTACAGACGCGCCGGTCCTTGGCTGTCTCCGAGGTTTTGGTAATGAACCCGAGAGGTGCAGTCGCCGATACCCGGCGACACACTCCTACGCTTGTTGCCGCGTCCTCGTCGGCGAGGTTCTGGTCGGCATTTCCTGCCTCCTAGACTCCAACAAACGGGCAAAGAACTTTTGGTTCTTGGCGGTGAAAAAAAATGTCGCTTTGCTCCAATCTTTTAGTGCCGTCAGCATCCTCCTCTCCGCAAACCAACTCTTTCAGTAATCAGGCAGACACTACGTTGAGAGTTTCTCGTCCCCGTGAGTATTGGTCAGCCTACGCTTGTTGGGTTCTTGATGTCATCAGGTCGGACAAGGTCATAAGGTGCGAAAGATTGAGTAAAGACGGCAGCCTCATCGATTAGACCTCCTCGTATAACCGAAAGCCTAAGGACGTACAAGTCACCAGACTGAAGCGGTGCGATCATGACTGCGGCCAATGACATCCCTAACCTCACACAAAGATTGAGATGCACCTCGTCTTCTTTGCATTGTTGGCAGAACTTGGCGCCGACCTGGCAGGGCTGTGAGCTGCGGCTCCAATATCCATCCCCGATCCGTTGGGGGTGCCTCTGTATTTCTATAATTGTATTGCATCTTGCATTTGCAGTGCAGATGGCACCAGCGCAGACGCATTTTGCCATCCCATCTTTTGGTTCGTCAGCTTGAAAAGAGGGCACAAAGTCCCACCAATCATGCTAGTGTTAAGGGCACCCACCGAGCACGATGGCAAGTCCCATGGTCAGAACATTGAAAAAGTCTTTTGAACCACAGAGAACTAGTATGAGAAGCGCGCAGTGGCGGTGCGCCTTCGTCCGTGGGCGCTGCAGTGGGCTTCTGGTGATCGAGAGACAGGTCGGCAAGTGTTGCGAGATCGTGGTGAGGAGACGGCATTACAGTCGAAGCCGTCGTCAACGGCCACATAGGAGTGCAGAGGCAGATTCCCGCTTTTGGCTCCCTTTTGAGAAGAGCTGCCCTCGTGGTATGAAACGAGCCGAATGCTTGATGATGCCGTCCCGGTCGACGGTGTGCGACTTGGCTGTCGATCAAAACTTCTCAGCGCCCCGTTTCGGACAGAGGTTTTGCTTGTTTGAATGAAGCATCATGCTACAACCCGTCAGCTCGAGCCATATGTTGGCCCCAGGCGGCGGGACTGCAAATAGCATCGTTCAGTAGGAATACCAGAGGCCGCTTGTTTGCTGGCTGACAGAAGTCCGCTGTGGCTTGAGAGGTCCCGAAAATGAAATCCAGCTGGTAGGTCCGCCACATGTGCAACACAAGCGCATCCCTCCAAGGCGCCGCGCCGGTCCCGAGCCGAGAATGACGAGATGAAGGGAGGTTTTTGGCGTTGATGTTTTCTTCTTCTCTTCCTGAACGAGGGTCAGAGAGAGCGGATAGCACAAAAAGAGGCGTCTCTGAGGGAAACAGTTGTCCGTTGGCGGGTTTCTCCACCACGTGTATGCCGCCCAGTGCAAGGGGCCGTTTGTGGCTTGGAAGCTTGGATCGGTGTCGAACGGGGCGGTTGATGGGATGGAATCGTGGAGGACGGACCGGAAAGCCATTGAAGGGCTCGTGCCCCACAAAGCTGGGAGCCTACTACAAACTACGGAGTACGTAGCTCACGAACGAGGAGCGGACGGGGGGGATGGAGCAGGGTGGGTGGGTGATGTGGTGATGATGGAGGGGGCGTGTGGAAATGATAAGATGGCGATGCAGTAACGGAGAAGATGAAGAAAGAAGAAAGTCGAGCGGGGATGAGAGACACCCCGCCCCTTGTGGACTTCGCACTCATGCAATACCACCCAGCATTTTCCCGAGATGCAATAAAGCATCGGCGGGGGCGGATCCCTCGCCTCCATGCTGCCGTAATGCATATTGCATGACACTTGCATATGCATCTCCCATACGCATATGCGTATGCATTAGGCTGGTATGCATATCCATGGGGAGCTGACCGAACGTTCCTTGTCTCGTTCCTCACACCAATCATCTCCTCCACAACCGTACACTTACTTGTCTATTGTTGTGCTTCGACACATAACGTCGTCTCAATCGACTCTCGACTCGATATCAAGCTGCCAAGACAGTGGCTTCCGTCGACCTCGAAATGTGCATACGGAATACGGAGACCGAAGGAGCTTTCTGTACGCCGCCTTCAGTCCGTACTCTGCAAGCAAGCCTCATCCTGGCTCTTTTCCAGCTTGCCCATACACCCTTCTTCTCGTCTTGGAGACCCCCTGTCGATATTCTCGCAAGGTTTCTGTCGAAGATGACCTCCAGGCCTTTTTTTGGGACACTGCCGGAAAAGAGAGGTTGAGAAATCTCTTCCGTGAAAAGAATCCAGCCATGCGTGATCGACGCGCCCAAGGCCGGTGGCCAAGCAAGCACCCCCTTCGGCCGTGAGATGCGAAGGTGACCCCAGCGTAACCTCCGGCCCTTTTCGATTCATCTCGATCCAGCAGAACCCTGGACCACCGCTTACGAAACTCGAATATGATCATGCAACAAAGATTGTCATGGTCGAATTCCGCGTCCAAGTTCCAAGAAAGCATACTTACTCCCAGGCCAGCCGAGCAGGCCGCAGCAACCTCCTCACAAAAAATTGGCCCTCAGCAACTGTTGACGGGGGGCGTTCTGCATGACATCAAGCGTCGGAGCACATCTCGGCGAGCCGTAAGAGTGCCATGGGCAGACAGGGGAGATGAGTGTCTTTGCCTGCCTCATGCATCCGGGCTTGCCAGCTTGGCGATTCCACGCTGGATGATCTTGCTGGTGAGTAACGAGAGTCTGGACACACCCGGCCTGAGCAGTATTCTGCCATTGTCGTTGTGCTGATGCCATATTGCGCTATTGTAATCTTCTCCGTGCAGCGTCGTCTTGCCGAAGCGCGCCTGTGGTTGTGGTTGCGGTTGCGCTCTGAGGGGGTGGAACCTTCAGCCACCTTCAGGCCGCTTTGCCATGGACTGCTTTTGGACAAACTGTTGCTCATGGTCGCCTGTTTGACCCCAAGTTCTGGCCTGCTCGCGAGCTAGCCTCGACCTGAAACTAACATGTCGTTCTGCTTTCGACTTTGATCTGTCCACGGCCCCGTCGCTGTTCTCCAGCCGCGTGCCGCCGGGCTGGCTTGAGGGAGCCTCACCACTACCATGGCGTTTATGCCGTATGCTGCAAACCAGACGTGGATCCCGATTAGGCCCGGCAACACCCAGTTCGATGCCATGTCTCAACCATTGCTTTGCTCTGGTGCTGCCATGGAGGACGGCGGCCGCAACGGTCTGGTCTGGGCAACCTCGAGAAAGCTGACGCCAGGGGCAGGGTCAACATGAGTGGGCTGTCTCCTCTTCTTCCTTCCTCCTTGTGCCTGACCATCATGTCAGTGCCTCAGTTGGCAAGTCTTTTTAACTCCCGCTTCCTTTCCTCTGACAAGGGCTTTCTTCCTTCCATTCCGTGCGCCCCTCTCTTCCACTCTTACGCCCTTTTCAAGAGCTATAGACACTTGGCAGTGTAGTTGACTTTTTCCCAAAGGCAGATATCAGAAAAGATATTCTCCTTCATCTTCACAGGCCTACCCCGCCACTCGTTTTGTAGAAGCCCTCATCGTTCGTTTACACCCTCGTTCCATTGCAATGGATACCCAGATGCTCACTCCCGACACCCCGGAGCGTTCTCCGACTTGCCACAACGGATATCCTTTCGACTCCCCGGAGACGAAGCCTCAAGTATGGGACTTCCCTCATGATGGCTACTACCCCATCACACCTCCCACGGAGGAGTGCGAATCGGATGAGGAGCTTGCCACGGTTGCAAGCTCCATTGACCTAGAGGCGGAACCTCTGGTGGCCGTCATCGGTGTCGGATACGTTGGAGAGCACCTTGTGGGCAACTTTGCTCGCAAGTTCAACGTTCTCGGTTTTGATGTCTCTGAGGCGCGTATCCAGAGTCTTGGCGAGGAATTTGGCCCAGACAGCAAGGCCAAGTTCACTTGCAAGCCTAGCGATATGGCAGCTGCCACGCACTTTCTCATCTCGGTTCCGACACTGTTGCGCCCAGACCAGACCATTGACGCTTCCTTTCTGAAATCTGCTCTCAAGAACGTCGCCACATACGCTCGCCCCGGTTCGGTGGTTGTCGTCGAATCGTCCGTCGCAGTCGGTATGACGAGAGAGCTGCTCGGGCCTCTGGCGAAGGAGCGTCACCTCTTTGCCGGCATGTCACCCGAACGAGTTGACCCTGGCCGAGTTGAGCCGCCTGCATTCGCCATTCCCAAAATCGTTTCCGGCTTGGATGATGTGGTTCCAGGCTCGCTCAATGCCATTGTTCGCCTGTACTCGCAGGTGTTTGACAATGTCGTCCCTGTGTCTCGGCCCGAAGTCGCAGAGATGACCAAGTTGTACGAGAATTGCCAGCGTATGATGTGTATCGCGTTCGCAAACGAGATGGCCGATGCTTGTTTGGGCCACGGCGTTGACCCATACGAGGTGTCCGGTGCCGCGGCGACCAAGCCCTTTGGATATATGCCGTTTATGCCCAGCCTCGGCGTTGGTGGTCACTGCATTCCAGTCAACCCGTATTACCTTCTCTCGAACAGTCAGTTTCCTCTCCTGCAACACGCAACGGAGAAGATGCGAGCTCGCCCCATGGCTATCGCTCAGCGCGCGGTTGACACACTGTGCGCCGAGAAGCTGAGACCTAGCGTCCTTGTCGTGGGTATGGGCTTCAAGAAGGGCCAGTCGCACCTGGCCAACTCTCCCGGTCTCGAACTCGCAAAAAGCCTCGTGCTGACGGAAAAGGTCGATGTTTGCTGGGCCGATCCTCTCGTCAAGCAGGAGGCTGTACCGCAAATCGCGCGCCTGGACGTCGAGGACTGGAACGCGCGGTCGCTGGAGCAGCGTTTCGACATGATCATTGTCGCTTTCCGACAAACAGGACTTGACTTTGACGTCCTGGACCAGCTCGACAAGACTCGTGTTGAGATGTGGTGCAACTAAGACTTTCGGCCAAGGTTTGCGGCTGTCTTGGGCTGACGGTGGCGCATTCTTCAGTCATCACTCTCCCACATCCCTCATGCTTCTCACGATTTTTGCTTTTTCCTCCAATCAGTGGAATTTTCGTTACTCACTTGGGCTTTTCTGGCGCATACATGTAGCGACACTGTTGTTTGCGGTTGGTGTACATTGGAGCAAACGGCAGTTTGAAACGCGCAGATGATATGCAAGACGGATGTAATACCTCGGGTTTCCTTGTGCTTTGTCTTCGTTTCCTTTTCATTGAATGGTGTCCCGGATATTTTGGTTCCTCTTTCCTGGTAGATAAAACGGTCGCGTTCGACGAGATCGGAATTGAGCGCATTAACGGCCGTCGAAGATAGATGCGAGATACATATTCCAGGAATTCGTTCCTCTTCCTTAATGTCGACTCCTATTTGCAATACCCATAGCAGTCCCTCTTCGCCTGATCGTGATTATCGTTTGCTGTTCATGAATTGCGCCGTAGTCCTTGAGAGCGAGAGAAGTGCCGTCGTTGTCATGGTTGGACGTGTCGCACCACCAGTATTAATCCCTTACAGCAACCGGTCCCCGTAAGATCCGTCGGGAAACACGGCACAGCCTACTCCATCCATCGTCTAAGTGTGTGCTTTACGCAACTCTCAATCGGGATACGAACCCATCGTTGACGGTGCCGAGCTGCCGAGAAAGTTCCCCATCCGCAATGATACGGTGAAGTCAGGAAAAGGTTGCCCCGCGATGGCGCGCCCGTCCTGCAAGACTAGCGACCCGGGGCGATTGATATATCTGATATCCAATGCTGTGGTCTAGGTTTCCCATGGGCCATTAGTCTCAGCGATCTGCTCTGCTGGCATTTTCCCGCATCCCACATCCCACATACCCATATCGCGGTGCATTATCTATTGATATGCGCGACGCCGGCAACTAGCCGGGGGTCTCGACGTTCTGGTTGGCAGCCTCGCCCACATCCCAGCCGTCCATTATCTCTGTGATGAGATAAGAGGGTTGCTTTTTGGGTCTCTTTGGGATGGTACCGTCATGATAATCTGGGTGCAAGAGACGCAGGACGGGCGTGAAATACGAGAATAATGAGAAAATCGATGAGCAGGAGTTGGGCGAAGATGGTGTGAAGCAGCGGTGAGCCAAAAACGGTGGGATGTCGAGTGGTCATAGAAGAATGAGGTTAGGCGAGGGTTGCTCATCTGCGATTTCGGGAAAGGCGCCGATGCTCCCCCTCCCTTTTAGTACCTGACTTCTCTTCCACAAGAAGAATCCAAGAAAGCACGTTAGTCGAGGTGAGATGGTTTAATGTGCATGAGTCTCGCCAGTTCAAGTAGCTGTTCAGCTTCCGCAATCCGTGTGCCGGCGGGAGTCGGCGCCCGGAAGGCGTCGGCCATGCGGCGTCGCGGACCGCGGGCTCCATCTTCTCGTATTGCTTCTCAAAGATGACAGCCATGCCACGCGAAGATCCAGCCAGCATTTGACAGCTTGTAGAGTCAATGTGTTGAATTGACGTGGCTTAGCTTAAGCTCATTGATCACCACATTGACTCCAGGAATGGTCTCATCGCAAGGTAACTGTGAGCTTTTCGATCCACGCTGCCTCGATGCAGCCAATCCTTGAGGTAGTTATGTAGTATCTCTCCAAGATGAGGTCTTAAGAGTAGCTGACTCATGAAAGAACCTGTGCATGTCCTAGTTTGTTTCCACCTTTTTAGTCAATGTTGAAAATCTCACATCATAGGTGCACAAGGCATCTCCAAGGGAAATGTATGTATTTGACGATGAATCCGGGGGCGATCTAAGCTCCCGAGTACCGGGTCTCGAATTCCCCGCCTTCCCTTCTGGGAGACCTAAGCTTCCCATGTCATCGGCCTCTCACTCTCCCCAGCTCTAATCTACACGTTCCCAGCTGCTCTCAAGCTTAACTTTTCGTCAGCTGTCCCAGTACTCTCCTAGAGACTAGTTAGTTCGTGGGCAGGTTGGTTGAAGTGAAGGAAATGAGCTTACCTTGCGGATGCAGAACCACCACTCATCCCTCTTTCCAACCTTCGTAGGAATAGAGAGACACTGTGAAGATCTAGAGCGTGAACCAAGATCCTGGCTTTGGGTCTACATGCCCCATTTGTAAAGTTGTTCGTCATAAGTGGGAATGTCGATGTCTCCAGCAAGGCGAAGAATCCGGTGAAGATGTCAAGTCTCAGAGCAATAAGACCAGCCCCCTTCCCCAAGATACCAGCCTCAGGCGTCTCCAAGACCCAGTTTCCTTGCCCTCCAAAGCCAAAGTCATTCTCCCGGGGGTTGACTCCTCGCTGAAGTAAAGCCTCAATCTAGGCACAGTCTTCACGCTCACTTTCCCTCAATGGTGTAAGAAATGAGAGCCACTAGCCATGTCGAGCCTGTCATGCCGAAAAAGAAAACGAGCCGCCTTGAATGTATGTATGTTTGTTCGAATCGATCCAGTGGTTATGTCGATAGGTCGTAATGTGCAAGCTGCCGGTACAGGTAGGGGACCAAGTCGTAAATGAAGTTGGATGTATGACCTCTGTAGCGTTCCGGCACAAGAATAGAGACTTCCTCAATGGGCAATCACAGGGATCGCACCGTTGCCTCCACCAACTCCCGAAAAGCCACCCTTTCCGTTGGCGCCGTAGTTGTCGTCGTCATCGTCAGACTCATCCTTGCGGCGACGCTTTCTCAAGCCAGGACGCTCGTCAGGTAGGTCCACGTGGCCCAGGGATTCCTCCTCCGACTCGACATCGGACTCAGTCTCGCCTGCAGTAGCCCTGCGGCCGGACTTGGCAGTGGCCTTGCCCTTGCGGGCAGAGTAGTTCTTCTTGCCGAGGCGACGCTTCTTGCCTTTGGCGTTACGACCAGCACCGGAACCGCGTTTGAATGGAACGGCCTTGAATTCGGAGGCCAGCTGGCGTCTCTTGGCTTCTCGCTCGCCCTTGTCCTCGATCTTGGCGGTACGTGTTTCGGCGCGGCAGCTTGCGCAGTTCTTGAGGTTGATACGTCCGTCCTTGTCCTTGAAGTTGGACTTGTGGAGGCATTTTCTTTCGCGAGAGCAGTAGAGCATGTTCTTGCAATCGGAGTTTCCGGGATAGCCCTTGCAACGGTATACGTTGCGGTACTTGGACCGGCTTTGCCTGCGCTGGTAGTACTTGAACTTGCAGCGGCGGTGGTCCTTCTTGCTGCCTGTCTGCGCCCGAATCCTTCCTTGGGGGTCCTCGTCGTCGAAGAAGGAGCCGACAGAGGCCGAGCTCCCCGACCCGATCGAGCTTCTGGCCGAGCTGGAGGTTGTCGAGGCCGCCGAGGCCGCCGGGCTGGCGCGGGCGTTGGCCGCACGGGAGGTAGGAGGGCGGGCGGAGGCTGGCGGGCGGGCAGAGACCGGGGCCGGGGCCGGGGGAAGGGCAGGGGCCAGGCCGAACTCGGCGGGGGTGGGAGGACCATGACCGGCCGTCCAGCCCTCAGGGCCTTCGGCGAGAAGGCGGGCAACCCGAAGGTGGCCGGCGGCCGCGGCGGTGAGGGGGGTGAGGGGGGGAGTCACACCCTCGTCGCTCGAGACGATGATGGGCTTATCCTTCTTGCCCTTTTCCTGCTGGCAATCGATTATTAGTAAGTAACACTCGCGAGAAATAGGGGGATATGGGGGAGGGGAGACTTACATCCATATTGGTTATAGGTATCGCGAATGAGGAGATAGTTGGCTGTCGAGATGTGTCCAGACAAGGCTGGAAGAATGGGGTGATGTCTGGGTGGAAAGAAAGAAGAGAAAGTCCAAAAGGTCTCGTCAACTGAAAGGATTTTCTAGACGTGAATTCCTATCGTGGAGGGATCCGCTTGTTAACGGGATTCTAGCGCTTATGTTATGACGGAGCTTGTGAGATTTTCACGATAGCCTGGTCTCGTCCCGTGGCTGTCGAGCTACCTGTGCTATGCCTGAGGACGTGGACACAAGCTCTTGTTACGAAGCGATGATGGGGGATCGTGGAGGGCATGTGCTATGTCTGACCCAGAGACACAATCTGAGCACATTAGCGTTCCTTTGAGGGATGAAGCAAAGAAGAGGAGGAACTAGAAGCTCCGAGGATTAGCTAGATGAGACGTCGTTATAAGGCTTTCGCCATATCCAATTGTCTGACTCGTTTATGATGATGTCTCATCGATAGATCTGATAGCTTAGTGAAGACAGAAAGCTTGCTGGAGCACTGATTAGGGAGAAGCCTCGATGGATGAAAAGCCCTGTAGAAGGTGCCTCGTCTTCTTCGTTGATGCTAACTACAGATCGCCAAGAAGCCTATGGTTTGGCTCGGGACCAGACATCTTCTGCGATAAAAGAGCCAGGTCCGTCGCCATGTGGCATTTATGGGCACTTAAGGTGAAGCTATCGGATACTGGCTTATTTTGTTTTTAGTAAGCCGTTTTAATGATTGAAGTGCTTCGAACGATGAGTGAAAGCCATCTAGCAGACGGCATGTGATCTTATAGATGGAGAACCTATTGTTTGGATTACGAGATCAGATATCTCGTCTAACATTCGAGCACTGATCTAGGTATATGGAGAAATGCATGAGCACCTGGCCTAAAGAACTTGGATGCTTGCTCAGCATGGTTTCCGAACGGATCCTTTGACAAAGAGAGACTCTAAATGATGTGCTTTGTCAACTTCATCGAATCTATAGAAACGGATAAAGTATGGTGGTTCATGAAGTCGAGGTCTCATTCGCCATGAGAACTGTAATTGAGGTGATATCAGGAATGTGGATTGAAGTCTAACCTGAGCTATGAGACACTTACTTAATCTAATGGCAACGTAGATTGACGAATAATTCGACCTGGATGACGACGACGACGACGATGATGACGGCATGTTCATCAAGTCGAGGCCTTGAGAGCTACCGGGTAAAGGTCAAAGAATGCAAGAGCAGATGATGAGATCAAGATTAAGAACAATGTATTAAAAGCAACTTGCGTAACCAAAGGGTATTCGGCAACGGGTCCCTGCTCTAAGATGTACATTCTGACTTGAGAGATATCGCGCTCAGAAAAAAAAACAAGAACCATTGGACACAGATTCGTACAAGACTTGAGGTAGACTGTCGCTGACACAGTCCAACGCAAGAGTCGAAATAATCCCGGCGGATGAAGAGGAAAGACCGGAACGCCAGTAGTGAAGAGACGCTCATATGCAAAGCCGATGCGTTCATAGAAAGGGTGAAGTACGGAGGAAAGGTAATTAGTCGCCGAGGGGCATGCCGTCAAGCTCATCGAGAAGACGGCGCCAGTTGTCGGCCAGCATTTCGGAGTACTTGACGCGCTCCTGAGCCCAGTCTTGGTTCCAACGCGAGACGTGGAACTGGGTGGTCTGGAAGTAGATGAGCTCGTCACGGATGCACTCCTTGACAAAGATGGATCGGTTGTGTTGGTTGACAATGGACTCCTTGTCCTGTAACTATCATCAGTACTGCAGCAAGCGAGCGGAATACGTCCAACTTACCTTGAGAATAGACTCAACCACCTTCTCAATCTCACCAGGCTTGACCATGCCATCGGGTTTGCTGCGGAGACTGGCCAACTTGGTCTCATTTGTCTGGATCCTTCGCTCAAGGTAGGGAATATTGTCCTTGTCCAGACGTTCCCTGCGATCGAACAAGTCACGGATGCTCACGAGAGCATCTCGTTGGCGCTTGAGATCCTCCAACACGCCCTCTTCCCAGGCCTTGCTCTCATCTTCCAAAAGCGTCTGGCACGTTCTCAAGTGTCTGCTCATGGACGTCAGACCATCATTAAGCAGAGGCACATCGTTGGTGTCGCTGGCGTATGTGTCGGCACTCGTTTCGGTGAGTGAGGTCAGAGACATGGCAATACGAGCATGGTCCGCCGCAACTCCCTCGCTGCGCTTCACCAAACGATCCATGACGTTGCAGATGTTAATGTACAGCTCGGCTGACCGTCTGATACCGGAGCGCGTCTTATCAAACATGGCCTCGAGGGTGGGCGGCAGCGAGTCTTCCAGGTTAGGCGGCAAGGCACGTCCGGAGAATTCATCTTGAACGGAGATGGTGGCCTGCTTGCGCCATACAGCCAGTTCCTGATACTAACAATTAGCGAAATGCAGTGGACTGAGAAGACTAGAAGTGGCCTACAGTCGGGACAGTAAGGAACATGATGATGAGCTGTTCCTGGCTCAGAATGGGATGCCGGACAAGTGCATTGAGGAATCTCCCAAGGCCTCTGCGGCGCTTCTCGATAAATGCGCCGTCATTAGAGAAGTGGTTACCGTTGACTAACGTGTGGATGTCAGTAGGGGCCATGTAAACATTGTGAACAAGAAGCAGTATGAGACCTACCAGCAACACGCTTAGGCGGCAGCAGAGGGAGAGCTCTGAACGGATACCGCTTGTGTAGGCAGTCCAGAAGCCAGACGAAGTCGCTGTACCGCCTGATGACCTTGCTACCCCGTCGGACGCTCGCAACCTCGTAGTTGTGATGTTGGAACATGAAGAGTCCTTCCTTCTCCGGCATCAACGTGATGACGACGTTCTCCTCGACAGAACTTCCCGAACGACCGCTCACGGCAGGCCGCAGAGAGGGCACGGTCGCAGGGTTAAGATTCGCGTCGCGTCCACCGCTTGCACCGCCAAAAGGACTTGTGACCTGGTTGTTCGGGGGTGGTTCGCTGAAGCCGCCTCCCGTGGTGTTGCCATCAAAGTAGCCGCCCCATCCACCACCCGGCGATGTGCCGGTGTTTACATCCTGCCTCCCAGAACTCCTCTCTGAGCCGATGGCCGCAGATGTGTAGGAAGAGATGGTTCGACCGGCGATGGCGGTGCTGGGAGACGTGCTATAGTGGCCATTGCCGTTGCCATTGCCATTTGCTGCAGGCCGCTGGGGGCTGGCGCCGTTGGTTCTACTGGGGGACTCAGCGATTGCGTGCGCGTGGCCCTTGTGTACATCGGGAGAGTTCCATGGGTCCTCTGGCTCTGGGAAGTCCATCGGAGGTCGGCGCAGAGTGGTGGGCTGCGGCGGCGGCGGTGAGGGCGGCGATGGGGTATCTTGGACGGGGGTTGCAGGGGCTTGAGGAGGTTTGGCAGCCAGCTCGGAGACGGGAGGCATCACGGGAGCAGCAGTCAAGCCGGCGAGCTTGGGGAGTGGGAGATCTGGATTAGTGTATTGGCAATTAGCAGAGAACCCCACACAGATTGCGCGCACTGATAAGTGGTAGCAAGGTACGAAGGAGGGATAGTTGCGAGGGTCGGGTAGCTCAGCTCGGCGAACAGGGTGCCGAGGTCATGACATAACAAGGTGGGCAAGACAAAAGTGGGTGTTTGCTGGTGCTGGGAAATGGTGGTGATGATGGCGATGTTGACGGAGGGAAAAGAGGTGGAAGAAAATGGACTCACTTCTGCGTCGCTCGTCGACGGTGTCGAGGCTGATGTGGTCGCCCTCCTGTGACAGGGCAATAAGAGCCAGCAGGACGTTGAACTCGCCGCGTCCGACAGCAATGTCGCCACCTGCAGCTGGCACAACCATGGACATGATCTGCGCCTGCTGGTCGGCTCCCAGGCGCGCAGCAGCGAATAGCTTGGCTATGCCACCTGCGTTGACGCGCCCTCCGCTGCCATCTTCGCGCACGACTGTGTCAAAGGTCTCAATGTAGGGCTCGGGGACGTCGGAGGCGGACAAGAGGTTGCGGACGACATCGGCGCGCGACTGCTTCTTCCTCGGAGTGGGCATGTCCCAGGGTGAGCTCTCGGCTCCGGCGAGATCGTCGTCGGTGAAGAGCGAATTGGAGCCGGACTTTGACATGGAGCCTTCGTCGAACAGCGATCGCGAGGGCGCAGCAGAGGTGTTTGAGGGCGAATCCGCCGGTGGTGATGATCCGAAGAGGGACATTGTAGGCGATTATGTATGTACTGGACGGCCAATTGCGATTAGGAGGGGTGCGAGAGAAGGGCGGTAACGAATTCCAAGGTTATCGAGGTAGTACTGGCGTTTGGCTGGTGGTATCTGTACTCTAGAGGCCGGTTGACGTCCCTTGGATGGATTGGAAGAGCTACTGGTCGGAGGAGTGCGCTATCCAACGCAGGACGCAGAGCAGAGAGGCCTCGTAATTGATGCGTAACGGGGGGCTTTGTAGAATACGGGCGGTTGCAGTGTGACGAGATAAGGTACGAGAGCAGAGAGGTCGACGGGCGAGTCGTGGTGACCAAAGGTCCGGACGGAGTAAGCTTGCCGCGTAGGTACTGGCGCCAACGTCAAGGTATCGCAGTAACAGAGAGCCGAGAGAGCTCGAGGTCGGTTCCAGCAGAGGTGTGGGAGAGCTGAGCTGCGTCCAGTCGAGTCGAGTATCCGTACCTTGCAAACATCAACAGCGCAAGGAGCCTAAGAAGAAGACGATGATGAAAGGAAGACCAGGGGGTCCAGTGGGTGGATGATGCGACAGGCCGCGACAATGACAAGGTATGGAACCTAGGTGAGGTACCTAAGTATGTATGTACACGCAGCACCGAGATGGTTGACGATGATGCGTACGTACACGTACACAACAAACTGTACAGAAACAGAGAGCGATCTCACGATTGGAAGTTGGAAAAGAAAAAAGATTAACCAAGACAAAAAGCTTGAATCTTCTTTTTTTACTCCCAAAGTCACAACCCAACTTGGAGGCAGAGCTGGGGCCAAGGATTGGAAGCTTGAGACAAGTCGAGACGGGAGTGGGCTGCGAGGGAAGGGACCTGGTCAGGTACTTCCTTCCTCTGGAACTTGGACGAGGATACGCTGTTTCTGGCGACACTGACAGTGCTGAGTGAGGTGAGCCCAAATTCCAATTGTCCGTCTGTGCCTCACTCAGTGCCTGAACCAGGAACGGGGCTGGGACAACTACGGAGTAGTGGACTGAACCAGGAGTCCACGCTGTTGCGGAGCAAACAGTCCCTGTCGCAGGTCGACGTGCTCCGTACCTTAAGGTACCTTCTCCGTAGAGGGGCACTGGGCTGCTGCCAGGGAAGCTTCAGGTGCCTAACGCAAGTCATGTCTTTCAAGTGGGCCTTAGGTAAGCATGTAAGGTGCTTCGTACCTGATATCCACCAGCCACACCTTGATGAGCTTCAGCCACTCGTATCGAGTGTGGCTTGGTCGGCTCTTCTTCGCGTGAACCTGCCGAACCGCGACCGGGCCACCTGCAGCAGCTTCCCGGGAGAGTGAGGCTCCATTGGAAATTTTGGAGGACCGGACCTGGAATCTCGGCCGTGTCGCTGTTCATCGTCACCCAACGCCCACGACCGCCACCACATCCACCCTCACAATGCCGCCACGGATAGTATCGCCGCTGCATGCTGCGACATGCTGTAGCCGTGCCCTTCGCCCCTCCACGAACCCAACGAGCCTCGTCTCCCTCTTCGCTGGCCTGTCTATCGGCACCCGCAATGCCTCCATCCTCGCCAGCCTGAGCGACAACAAGGGAGCTTACAACAAGCGCATCAGACTCGGTCGCGGTCCCTCTGCCGGCAAGGGCAAGACGTCTGGAAGAGGTCACAAGGGTCAGGGACAGCATGGTCACGTCAAGCCGTGGTTCCAAGGTGGTCAGACACCGTTGATCGTGCAAAGGGGAACGAAGGGTTTCGACAACAAGTAGGTGCATTTATGAACACCATTCGCCAATGGCTTGTCCAGAGCCTTGTCTACACAATCGATCTTCAGTCACTGACTTTCAAACGCAGGCGCGCTCCCGTCATGTCCAAATTGAACCTCGACAAGCTTCAACAATGGATCGACGCCGGCCGCCTGGATCCTACGAAGCAAATCACCGTCAAGGAAATCATCGAGTCGGGCCTCATCGGCAGCGTCAAGGACGGCATCAAGCTCCTCGGCCGCGGCAAGACCGACCTCCGCCAGCCCATCGACATCATGGTCTCGCGCGCCTCCGCCTCCGCCATTGACGCCGTCGAGGGCAACGGCGGGAAGATCCTCACCAGATTCTACACCAAGCAGTCCATCAAGCGCCTCCTCCGAGGCGAGTCCCAGAACACGGATAAGCCCCTGCCCGTCGGCAAGGAGTACGTCGAGAGCATCCTCTCCGAGGCCCGCAAGAAGACGTTCCTCTACAGATTGCCCGACCCCACGAGCCGTGAGGATATTGAGTACTACCGCGACCCCGCCCACCGCGGGTACTTGAGCCACTTGCTCAAGGAGGGCGAGTCGCCGTCTTTGTACTTCAAGGTGCCGCTTGCGAGAAAGCGCATCGAGCACGCCGACAAGGAGTCGCGCAAGGAGACTAAGAAGGTTACCCGCGACAACACCCTTTGGTAGACACGGGAGAGCGGTGGTTGGTGTGGAGGAAGAGCCCAAAAAACAGGATGAGAAAATGTACCATTACTTCCCGGCGATTTGTATGTACAGACATTGTATCAATACTACTACTACCCCCCAAGCTCAAACAGCTGGGCCTTATTTCCGCACTCTCTATTCTCCGTCCGATGTTGAGCGGAAACGAACGGCCTAGGCTCTGATTTGTGAAAATAGGCTTACTAGAGGCACAGGGCCAAGAAAGGGAAGCAGAGTTCGGCCCAACTCTTGCATTGCTGACATGCTGAGGGTATCTTGCCTACGCTGCGGGTAGATCCTGCTCGTCTAGCTGCTCATCGGGGAACGAGTTGGCTCCGAGATGGCATGGTAGAGCATATCCGTATTAACGGGTTTTGGTGGCTGGCCACCCTCGGATGCCCAAATTCCACGCGGGGAGCATAAAGGACTGGCGTTTGGTGTTGTTGAACCATCCCTGTTGGCCAGAGTCAATTCGACAACCTCTTGGACTGGATGACGTCTGGTCCGACCATTCACATGCGTGTTTCGTTTCTTTCTAGCGTACAAGTAGCTGAGCGTGGAACGGGACAAGGTGAGTAATAGAGGCAGCTTGAGCTCTTTTCATTCATATTCGTGCTTTCTGCTAGCTAGCTGGTAACTGATCAGTACCACCTTTTAATCACCTTACTATGGACTCTCTCAGCTTCCTTCAAATAGTCGGGCTCATCGCCCTCGTCAGCGCGGCATACAACCTCGCATGGCCCTTCTTCCCCTTCCTCCGCAAATCCAAACTCGACCGCTACCTCATCCCCGTCCACGGCAAACCAGCCTGGGCCCTTGTCACCGGCGCAAGCGACGGCATAGGCAAAGGTCTTGCCAACGAGCTGGCCCGGCGGGGCTTCAACGTCGTCCTCCACGGCCGCAACGACGTCAAGCTGGAAGAGGTGCGGCACAACCTCGCGCTCGCGAATCCGGACAGGGAGTTTCGCATCATGGTTGGCGATGCCGGGGTTCTCGGAGCCGGGCAGCAGCCGTGGGATGTTATGCTTGCGCCGCTGGAGAATTTGAACCTGCGCGTGCTTGTCAACAATGTCGGCGGCGGACCGGCGGAGCCGATCATGAGGAGGCTAGATGAGTCGTCGATGGAGGAGATTGCGGCCAACGTGCACATGAATGCTCTGTTTCCAACGCTGCTCAACGCTATACTGATTCCGCGGTTCACTGCGTCGTCGGAACCCGCGCTGATTATCAATGTCGGGTCACTATCGGATAACGGGTTACCGCTGCTGTCTTTTTATAGCGGGAGCAAGGCGTATCTCGGCGCCATGTCGACGTCCATGGCAAGGGAGCTGTCGATGGACGGATTCGATGTCGAGGTCATGGGCGTGCGGATTGGGGCGGTGGCGACGAAGCCGGAGCTGATGACGCCGCGGGTTTTTTGGCCTTCGGTTGAAGTTATTGCGAATGCCATCTTGGACCGTGTCGGGTGCGGGAGGGCGGTGCTGATTCCGTACTGGGGCCACGCGGTACAGATGGCGTTTTTGGACCTGGTGCCTGCGACCTTGCAGGATCCGTTGTATAAGAGGATTATGGTGAAGATGAGGTCTACGGAGAAGAAGATGTTCAGCAAGGCGAAGTGAGGGCCCTCAATGACCAGGAACGAACCTCAGATGGAGAACGAGATTGGTGTCAGGTAGTCATTTATGAAGTACGGGTCCTTGGGATGGCATTTCCCAGCAGTGTACTATCAACTTTCTCTAGGCAGTCTCCAGTATCAGACTGGTAAGGAAAGGGGTATTCATCGGTTCATCTTTCTCATGCGAGAGGTGAGATGTTGAGACATTATGAAGTTCCATATGCTAATTTGGGGAAGGGTGTTCTGAATCAGAGAAAGGAATCGTTGTCAAATCTGTTGATCGAGATATAAATAAGGCTTAACAGTCCATATAGGCTTAGAGTTTACTATTTCATACGTCAGTCAGAGTAGGTATGGGAGATTTGTGTTGTCTCAGCCATTTCAGCATTTGATAACTCGATAAGGGCGTGAAGAATGTAGGAGGATGATATAAGGTAATTATATGGCAAAAATGAGACAGGGCGTACCACCGGTAGGTAGTTCTTCACCTCATGTCAATATTCAGTGGCATCAAAATAAGCAATCGGCAAAGCCGTGAAGTGAGATGGATGCCGTGCACCAGTCATGCACAACAGGCGAGTAACCCACAGGACGATTAGAGTTGAAGTCATGGTTATCTGGTGATCCACACCGATAGATGGCCTTCATCAATCTCATCAATGATCAACGGGGCTAGCCAAGCTGTATCTGTATTATTTCCGGCTTGCGCTTACTGCGTAGGTTTTTAAATACAACCTCATGAATAAGGTAGTGCGGCTGGTGCCACTCGTGGGCAGTCGATAACGACAAGAGGCGCTAGAAGTACAGACTGGCTGCCATTGGGTGCGAAATGCCACCATCGGAACAGGATCGGGTTGGGGACTTGTCCTTGGGGACCACACGCTTGTCCTTTCGTGACAGGATGGAAGTTGGAAGTTGGTATGTGCGATTTGTCTGCTTGGCGATTGGGCAGACGGGAGGTGGGAAGTGTGGCGCAGGCGACAGGAGCTGACAAGCTCCGGGGCAGCAGCTGCCAGATTGCCAGATTACAGGAAATGGCGTCCAATGCAAGCCAATGCAACATGTCAAGGAAAGGTCTGAGCCTCTGGGCCAAACGCTGCTGACAGGATGCAGGATTATTACCTAAGCCCTTGGGATACCGGAATTGCAAGTTCATAAGGTATTCGTATTTTTGTACTTTGTTAACGTGGACAGGACGGGCAGATTGATGCTGATCATGGAAGGAAACAGACGAGTGATTAGTGGATGAAAACGGAAAGAGTCCAGATTGCACGATGGAACAACGCTGGTACGTACCCCAGAGTACCGATAGATAGGTATCCAGACGAAAAGGAGGGGGTCCACTTTCTCCTTTCCGCGGTTCTTGGCGGGACGATCTATCCAATGACGCGAGGTTCCCTGAGCTGCTCGCATCCACCTTGAGCCCCCCTCTACCCCACTCTACCCTCCCTTTCCGTGCTCTGGTTGGCTGTGTCGAGTTGCAGTCGTTGCAGTTCTCATCCAGATTCAGTCCAGTCCGGTCTGGTCTCTGGCATCCCCGTCAACTTTCAAGTCCTAGACCACGGGCAGCCCAGCATACTGCGTAAGGTGAGCAGCTATGGAGTGAACTGTGAAGAAAGATGGCATTGTTGTGATTAGGGGACCGCGACTCTGATTGAGGCTATGAGGAACCCGGTAAGGTGCATGACAGGAGACGGCGTCCCTATCTCGCTACTGGATTGCGTGGTCGTGGTGGCAGGTGCCGTGAGCATGGTGCCTGCCGTCACATTGAGGTGTAAAATGGAAGATGGAACTTGGAACTTGGAAGGCGCCTACGGTGTCCCCTTCCGTCCCCCGGCTCCCCTATCGCCATGAAAAAATGCCAACCTCCTTAGGTAGGTATCCCGTCCGTAACTCTCCCACCTCTCCTCATCCGTAGCCATCCACGGGTGACATCTGTCAGCTTTTCCCCCCCTTCCCACCACCCCGAGAAAAAAAAAGTTGGTTCCTTAAGGTACTTGTTCCCGACGGAATTCCAACTCCCTTTCTTCTCCCACTCACGAACCCACCCCCTTCATCCCGCCGAACGACCTTTCCCTTTCTCCAACTTAACACCCTCCCTCCCCTCCGACCTGACGAGCGAAGACGACGGCGACAACCCACGATAGCGTTCGCAAGCGTCCGCCCGCGCTTTTTTTTTTTTCTTCGCGAACGCCACTGACCTATGTCGCCTGCCGAGACGAGACCCTTTGCTCGACGCAATTGATCACATCCCAAACCGGCTCAACCCATCAGGCCCTTTGTGTGTGTGTGACCCTGGGGAGAGAAGAACCAACCTTCTTCTGCTTCTTTTGAACCTTTGGGCTCAATCTCACAAGCACAATCGACCACATACCACGAGGGTAGTAGTCTCACCGTCAACTCCGCCCATTGACTGCAACAGCGAGGCCTAGCAAAGCAACCGCGCTCTCCGCTTCCGCTTCCGCTACCGCATCCACATCACACCCTCTCCATCAGCGAGTGCCGTGTCTTTCCTCCGCCTTCGACGCGAAGCCTGAAAACTGTTCAGTCTCAGCTTCTCACCCCCCGTCTTCGGTCAGCACTCCACTACCACCACAAACCCGACGCCTTGCTCGAGGGAAATCTCGTCCCTGCCGCTCGTTCACGTACCGCACCCCTTGGCAATTCGCATCGCCCACGCAAACCACGTGTCAATCAGCCTTTTTCGTTTTTCGCCTGCGTATGCTGCTTCGATAGCACACGGCTTTGCATTTGTTCGCGGTTCGCGTGTTCATCCAAGGAAGAAAAAAAGGGAATCAGGTCCATTAATCGACGCATCGCACCGCAATCGCCTTCCACACACCCCTTATCCAACCAGCCCTACTAATCTTTGACGACACATCCTTCAACGCCACCCTTGGAGCCATCCCATCTCTCATCCGACATCTCTCTACCACAACACCGCCAAACACAACCTCCCTCCTTCACACAACTGCCGGCCACGGTGCGCCGCAGCCGTAGCCATGGATCTTTTTAGACGAGCCGCAAAGGCGACCTCGACGTCGCCGCAACTGCCCACCGCCGACGAGAAGCCTGCCACAAAGGCCGCTCGCCAGAACAGATTGACCTCGCGACTTGCCTTCTTCAGAAGACCGCTGCGACTTCGCGGTAACTCAAGCATCTCGGTGCCCCTCGGCGTCGTCATCCTCTTCCCCTTGATCGTCGTTATCCTCATCCTCGTGCTCTTCGTTAGACACCCGAGCTCGCCTGGAAGGATATTGATGCCCGCAGGCGCCCCCCCTGCTATCAGGTATGCACCTGATCTCATTCTCAATTGATCAAGCCTAACGATATTGTGCACAGAAAAATCAGCGAAGAGCACGACAAGGTCTTCGTCACTGGATGCCTCGAACCCGATACGAGCAGACCCAAGGCTAACGGTGCATTCGTCGTTCTGGCCCGCAACCAGGAGTTGGAAGGCGTCATTCAATCCATCAAGTCCATTGAGCGTCACTTCAACCGCTGGTACCACTACCCCTACGTCTTCCTGAACGATGGCGACTTCAATGAGACCTTCAAGGAGGTTGTCACCAACTACACCTCCGCTCCCGTTGAGTTTGGCAAGGTCGGTCCTGAGATGTGGGGTTACCCTGACTGGATCGACCACAAGGTCGCCAAGGAAGGCATCGCGAAGCAGGGGGACGCCGCTGTCATGTACGGTGGCTTGGAGAGCTACCACGCCATGTGCCGATTCTACTCTGGGTACGGTTCAGAGACACAAACGTTCTCTTATCTCTATGCTAACGCCGGCACAGTTTCTTCTACAAGCACGAGCTCCTCGCCAAGTACAACTGGTACTGGCGTCTCGAGCCCGAGATCAAGTACTTCTGCGACATTACCTAGTATGTTTGGTTACTTTAATCGATCAACAACTCAGTCGCTAACCATCACACAGTGATCCTTTCTGGGCCATGATCGATGCCAACAAGACCTACGGCTTCACCATCGCTGTCAAGGAACTCCGCGAGACTGTCCCCAACATCTTCAGATACGCTTCCGCCTACAAGCGCCTGAAAGGCCTCAAGTCCAAGGGCTTGTGGGAGATGTTCGTCGATCCCGTTGAGAAGAAGGAAGAGCCGGTCACCGACCAGTCTCCCCTGCCCGAAGAAGTTCTCCGTGCCGACCCCAACCGCAACAACCTGCCCGATATCGATCCCGAGGCTATGGAAGGCGAGTCGTACAACATGTGTCATTTCTGGTCCAATTTCGAAATTGCTAGCCTTGACTGGTTCCGCGGCAAGGAGTACGAAGAGTTCTTCGAGATGATGGACCGCAGTGGAGGCTTCTGGATGGAACGCGTAAGTCCGCAGGATGCAGAACTATGAGAAACCAAGCTAACACTGGACAGTGGGGTGATGCCCCCATCCACTCCTTGGCAGCCGGCGCCCTCCTCTCCCCTCGCGACATCCACTACTTCCGTGACTTTGGATACCGACACACCACTATCCAGCACTGCCCCGCCAATGCGCCGGCCCGACAGCTGCCTAGACAGCCCTACCTCGAGACGACAACTCTTGACGAAAAGAAGCGTATCGAGGAAGACAAGTACTGGGAAAACTGGGACGCTGAGAAGGAGAACGGTGTCGGATGCAGATGCCGATGCGACACAGACATTGTCGACGTCGAGGGCAAGGAGGGATCGTGCCTTGCTGAATGGGTCGATGTTGCCGGTGGATGGGCCAGCCCGTAAATGCAACGACAATGCATCGCATACGTATACGATGTCACGAGCCATAGCCAGCATACGAGCGCTGGCACCAGTCACGGAGGAAACGACATAAAAAGGGATTGTATATTGACGAAGCGGAGACGTCACACTCTTTGTCTTCACAGAAGGGTGTCTCATTAATGTTGGCACGCATGGGTGTAATGGCATTGCCATTACAGGTCTTTGCTCGAGTTCTTTGGGAGTTAAGGGTTTCAAAGCTTTCGGCCACTGTCCATAATCGTTTTCTCTTTTTTTTTTCCTTTTCATCAAACACCACAAGGAATCGCGACGCATGAAATAGAGAGGTGGAAAGCTACAGAAACGGTTGGCTCAGGTTATTCCCAGAGCTGCGCAAGTCTTTTTTCAAGTTGTCGAAAGTAGAGGAGAGCAGGAGAAGTGGCAACCTCGATAGTGAGCGAGAAGGAGAGACATAGTGCAGGAAGAACAAGGGTGCTGGATAAGCCCCTTTCACCGCGCGCGCGCAAGGATACCAAGCTGTATAAGACGCATAAACAACGAAATATCGACGTCTGTTCTCGGGAGAGCTTTCAAAGTTAGAAGCGCATGCTGGAAAGCCCCAGCCTTTCCTGTGCCAATGGTATACATGTGATTTACCAAACATGAGTGGCCCCATGCTGTGATGCCCACCTTGTGACAGAGAAGTTTGTAGACACTAGAGATTCCAGGTAGGTTGGTTCAAGGTCGTAGTTGAAACTTGCTACTGGCGACTTATTGAAAGAAGAATGATTTGAAGCCAGGTTCAGGAGATTCTTGCTAGTCTAGCATAACCAGGTACAAAACAAATGTTATCAGTGCCCTCAATGAGAAAGCCTGGTTGCTAGCGGCGGTATCGTAGGACTTCTACGTCCGGGTAAGGACTGTCCACTGACCGAACACTGAAGAAGTGGTTCCCAAATTATACTGAATTACAAGTCTATATCAAGACATGTCTACACGTATCTACCACGACGGATCCGCCGCGTCCGTGACGGCTCCATGACTAGCATCACCCACCAACCTCGCATACTTGCCCAAAGCACCTCTCCTCACATGCGGCAAGGGAGCCTTCCACTCCTTCTTCCGCCTCTCCATCTCCGCCTCGTCAACATCAACAGCGTCGATGCGATTCGTCTCACCGTTGATGGTAACCGTATCTCCATTCTTCACAAGCGCAAGCGGCCCGCCGACCGCCGCCTCGGGACAAACGTGGCCGATGATGAAGCCGTGGGACGCACCGCTGTACCTTCCATCCGTCACGAGCGCCACGTTATCCAGCCCGGCACCCATGATCGCCGCGCTGGCGCGGAGCTGCTCCGGCATGCCTGGTCCGCCTTTGGGACCCTCGTACCGGACAATGAGAACGAGGTTGCCGTCCTCTCGGCGGATGGAGCCCGCCGACAGCGCAACGTCGAGCTCGTGCTCCTTGTCGAAGACGCGGGCCTTGCCCGTGAAGGTGAGGCCTTCCTTGCCGGTGATTTTGGCGACAGCGCCTTCGGGAGCGAGGTTTCCGCGGAGGATGCGGATGTGGCCCGTCGCTTTGATCGGATTCGAGAGCGGACGAATGATCTTCTGGTTCGGGTCGAGGGAGGGCCAGTCTGCGACGTTTTCGGCGAGGGTGCGGCCCGTCACCGTCATGATGGAGCCATCGATGAGGTTGGCTGCGACGAGCATCTTTAGAACGGAGGGCGTGCCGCCTACTTTGTAGAGATCCTCCATGTAGTACTTTCCTGACGGGGCAAGGTCGGCCAGGAAGGGAATACGGTTGCTGGTGCGGTCGATGTCGTCGATCGTCAGGGGCACATCGGCCGTGTTGGCCATGGCGAGGAAGTGGAGAACACCGTTGGTGGAACCGCCGAGGATCATGGTGAGCACTAGAGCGTTCTCAAAGGCGGCTCGGGTCATGAGCTTGCGAGGGCGGAGGTCCTTCTCCATGGTGATCTTGATAGTGGTAGCGGCGCGCTCGCACTCGCGGGCCTTTTCCGGGGACAGAGCCGGGTATGATGAAGATCCAGGGAGAGACAGACCCATTGCCTCAATCGCAGTCGCCATGGTGTTTGCCGTGTACATACCTCCGCAAGCACCGGCGCCGGGGCAAGCGTGCTGCTCAATATCGTCGAGGACGTCGGACGGGGTGCGGCCTTCCGTGCCGGGGTTGGTCTTTGCGTGGAGGCGGTCGTATGTGAAAGCACCGCGGGCCTCGTAGCAAGTGCTGATGTTGATGGGCTTCTCCAGAAGGTCCGAGTGACCCTTCATGATGGTACCGCCGTAAATCATGATAAAGGGGCGGTTGTGACGCGCGGCGGCCATGATCGTACCCGGCATGTTCTTATCGCAACCCGGAATAGAGATGTTGGCGTCGTGGTGCTGTGCGCAAGTCACCGATTCGATACTGTCGGCAATGATTTCGCGAGTCTGGAGGGAGAAGCGCATGCCTGAAAGCGTCAAGTCAGTGCTTGTCGTATGCAAACTGCAGTCATGGATAGGATAACTTACCTTCTCCTCCCATGGTGATGGCGTCTGACACGCCGACGGTGTTGAACTGCCAGCCGAGCATGCCCTGCTTCTCAACAGCCTTTTTCACAATCTTGCCGAAATCAAGCACTATTCCTCTGTCAGCGTTCATATTCATCTCTATGAGTCGTTCTCTGAGCTAGGGATCTTCTTACGATGTGTGCTGTAGTACCATGTTAGTCGAAGCCACTCCCAACAAACGCTCTAAATTTTAAAGGAGGAGACATACTTGCAAGGATTGCCCTCCCACCACACTGTTGCAATACCAACATGCGGCGCCTTCTTCATCATCTCCTTGTTCGGCACGCCAGCGCCGTACAGCATGGCCTACAACATCGTGAGCTTCCATGTTCTGAATAGTTTCGTCAACCCCGCGGTGACACCCCGCATCTCCGGCCACAACCCCGCATTCCCCAACTTTGCTGTGACACAAGTGACGGCGGTGCTGAATTCGCCGAATGTTTTGCGTACCTGTGCGCCGGGAAAGTCATGTTCCCTCGTGATTGTGTGCGACCAACGGTTGAGTTGTCCTTCAATGGGGTGCTCCTTGAACTGGATGTAATCGTGGCTGTCCTTGTAGCTGGTCTCTTCAGCGTCGCCTGGGGCGCGGCCTGCTTGGTCTGCGCTCATTGTGAAGGCTTTTGGGTAGCGTAAATAGGTGTCCGGTTCGATGGAAGAAGATAACTGCGTCAATTCGCGTTGGCCCGTTTGAATTCGAGAGTCGGGAGAGCCAAGGTTTTCAATGTACCGAGTTGGTGACAGAGCAAGAAGAGAAGTGTCAACGAAATATCATGAAAAGGAGAAAATAGTTCAACGAGCAGCAGTAGACGCGGGGAAGGAAAAAGGGCGACTGGGGGGCGGCAACATCTTTTTGAACTTTGTTTCACCCACCACACAACTTGTGTTCTGTGTACATACTACTAGTAGGTAGCTCAAGCGCGAGAGCAAAGCTACTGGCAGCGACAACGGCAGCCAAGGTTCACAATGCGGGCAGAGTGGGAAGGGCGCGGGGAAAGCCAACAGAGCTCGTTGCTTTCTTCCTGTTCCTCAATAGGCTACCGGCAGGGACATCGTGAAGCACTCCACTAGAAACCTCGGGGACGGATCCGCTCGGGACACCATTGAATCATTGCTGCTTAATGCGAGCGATCTTATTGGGAGGGCTGCCGACGGAGACGAAGCGGCTCGCAGCTTTCGGTCGGGTGATCCCAGCCGCGCCGGAGGGGAATCGGGGCATAGTCCGCGGTAGGAGTGGAGCAACACTCAATTGACTTTGCGGGTGAATAAGACGGGATGGGACGTGTTGAAGAGGGGTAAATGCGATGGAATTGACCCATTGACGAATGACGGGATTGTCGGAAAATGAATTGCGATGGAGTTGAACGATACCGGACCAGCTTTCCAGGAGCCAACTGAGAAGTGAGAAGGGGAGACGCCAATGAGTTCCAGTTCCAAGAAGAAGCATCGTCATCAACGGCATTCTCTCCGATGAAAGGCATGTCCCCCACGCCTCACAACTGGCTATTGCTGCAGCTGAGTGAAGGTGCGTACAAAACGTCAAAGTATGATGAGTGAGAGGTCGGCCAGTTGGGCGTTTGGATGGCGCCAGTCCGTGGGACACGCAAGAGCTTCTGGCTGCTCCCGGATCTGTCCACGCTTTCTCGTGAATCTCATCACAGTCCTGTGTCGTTAGCTCCATTAGCGTTACTGGGATGCCCAATGCATTTATCTTGACTGGTTCTTGGACTTGGTCTGTAGGTGGTGGTGTCCGAGTGAGGCATGGTGCCACCTTTTGATGGCGGCGTACAGTCTGCATGTTCTCACTCGTGGTATGGGAAATCGGGCTGTCCCCCACCTAACGTACTTTCCAATCAAAGTAGTCGTATTTGTCGTACAAGACGGGATTCAGTGGGTGGAGTCTCAATGCCGGCGCCGGCGCCGGCGAGATGAGCTCAAGCCGACCCGCAGCGTGGACGGACAGTACAGTCAGAATCGGATCTGTCCATATGTCCATAGCATACAGAACAGGCTTGAGAATTGTCGAACTATCCCCACGCTGGCCACCCGTGTGACATGCTGCTCAAAGGAGATGTTGCTATAACAATAATCCTGTCTTGGCTCAAGACGTCGAACGATCTTCAGGGCGAGAGGTCTGCTGAGACTTGGACTAGGCCGACTCCCGGAGGCGGGGCTCAGCCGGCTCGCGGTTCGGAGATCGAGGCATTCGGGACATCTTAGCACGAGAACATTTGAAGATGATAATGGTTGACGGAGTCTCCGCCAGTGGGGGTCCTCCGGCAAAGCCTCCCCGCATCCCAGGCTTGAGCGGTCGATTGTTTGTCTGTCTGGGCGTGGAGAGCGCTGCAACGTCTTGAATCTTTTCCCCCGCCCGTTGCTACACTTGCTGTATGTAGTGTGCATGTAAATCGTAAGTGTGCGTGTATGAACGAGTGTGTGTGCTCATATGCATGCAATACCGACCATTACACCACCACCAGCCAGCCACCAGCCGCGAGTCTCGAAATCAATCGAGAGGGACGTGGTCGTCTGCTCTAGTAGGGTTTCGATTAGAGAAACAGCAATCGTGCCAAGGCCCTGTCGTGTTGCGAAAGTTCGAACACTGGACGGTGAGAGGGGGTCATCTCGCTGGCGCCTCTCACCAGTGGGATGGGATGACACTCTGTTTGACTCTGCGTTTGGATCGGCGAGGGTGAGGGAACGCTGGCGATGCACTTGTGAAGTCATGCTTTTACTCTGGCTCGTTTCAATGCGTGCCCCAGTGTTGGAAGGCAGAGAGAACAGCAATGGAAGGGCGTTCGTCGAGACTCAAGAGGAGGGGCCAACCTTTCCCTCTTTTTCGTCCGAGCTATCCGCTCACCTCTGCTTGTTTCGAAATCCAGACGGATGGCGCAGCTCGTTACGAAGCCTTCTCCTTCTTCACCCCCTCTCCCCTCATTCGCACCGTCCTTCTTCGTCCGTCCGGTCTCTCTCTCTTGAGCCAAGCCATGCCGTGCTCTGCGTTGCTCGCTTCTGCTGGGGGTGTGAGAAACATGTCCAGGGACCATGATTGGCTGGCGTCTGTTCCAACAAGGCCAAAACCATTTATGCTTCAAGAGTTGGGAGGAAAGAAGGTTTCGGAGGGTGTCAAAAAAGCAGAGCTTTGCTGATCAAGGCGGACCGACGAAACCTTGGGATCTTTGGACGTTTGGGCTGAGTGGCGATAAGGTAACAAGGTAGGTGGGTGGTCGAAGCGAAGCAGTCACGTATTGGTGTACCAAAGACAAGAAGGAGGTGGAGGAGGATGAGGTTTGGGAGGATCGGGAGGGTGTGAAGGGAAACTCTGACCGCGCCAATACGTACCTCAATCTCAACCTCAACTTCAACTTCAAAAAAGAATGTGCGGAAGGCAAGGCCAGCCATGTGTACGTACCCGTGACAATTCACGGCCCTGTTGCTATTTCCAACTCTTACGCAGTGTGAGAAAGGCAAGTAATTTTCGTCCAAGGTACGGATAGAGAGTGCCGTAAATAATCTACCTTACTGTCAACAAGACCTACGGGGACGGGACACTTCACCTTGCCGTGAGGGAACAATTGCCGATGGTAGCTCCTCTTCTGCATCTTGCATCGCTCTTACATGACGCTAGCGACGGTTTGATCACGTATGTATGGGCGTTATCTTCGAAGCGCTGGTCTGGAATCGGTAATTGGAAACTGCAGCTTGGATCGTCAAAGCACTTGTCAGACAAACGTCAACAACCTTCCATCACTCGACGACTTGTTACCCTAATCTGGACAAGGATTGAGAGAGACATCGTATCAGTATTGAAGTGATTCCCACAATGTCCAAACACATCACGCTTGGACAGATGCATCCGCGGTCCTCTCATCGTATTGCTTATTTCTCTCCCTTGCAGCTGTCATGACACCACTACTCAGAACCAAAGGGCGAGGTCACTAAGAATCACTGCAGGAACAACAAGATTTCTCAAAACCCTGATTTCTCGATTCGCCGTTTTGAAGAAGAAAAAAAAAAGCAAAATGAAGCCAACGCAATCATCGTCTGCATGAATCCCGCAGGACCCCAAGGGCCGCTCTAGTGTACAAAAAACTGCCGTAACAAGTTGTTTCGGAATAACCCCACGGTTGGGATGTGTTTGTGGTTCGTAGTCATCGCTTCATTTCTGCAAAGGGTGGAAAAGATGCCTTCCCAAGAAGATGAAAGAAATGTTGTAAATGTCCTCCTCTGCACTGCCAGTCGTGCCCAACCACCCTATTTCATGGATCTAGCATCCAATCCCCTTCGCATGCCTCGGTGATGGCGTCGTTTTCTTCCCTCAAAAAGATAGAAGATGAAATGAAGAAATGGAAGAAAGGGCACCTTTCCCCTCCCGAGCAAAACCCCCGCCCCTGCCTGCGCCGGATTTCGCCCCAACAGTTCACAGCCACCTTAGTCGTATTTGTTCGTGTACGATGAAGATGGGGTAAACGGTTTGCCGAAAAGCCCTAACCAAAAAAGACAATGAAACCAAATTTCCCATAAGGGAGAAGCCAACTGAAGCGAAGAACAAAACTGCGGCTTGATGCTGTAGTCTTCTTGTTGCACGGCGGAAGACGCGAAAACTCAAGCAAGAATCAGACACTCCAAAGTTGTAAAGTAATACAATGGTAGAATCAAAGTGTTGTCTTGGTCGGTACCGAGTTTCTTAGGCGCCGACTCTTGATTCCTCCATGCGTCTCACCAACTCACGCTCACGAGGAGAGCGAGGGTTGGCGTCAATGCCAAGAATGGCAGAGATGCGAGTCTTGTCTTGAGGTCTTTCGTAGCTATCGCGATCCAGATTGTCGGGGCTGGAAGTGGGTGTGATGGGTGTGCTGGCCTGCTGCTGGTTGCAGCATGCACCATTCTGCCATGCCTGCTCCAAAGCAACGGGGCTTGCGCCCGGGCCGTAGTCGTTAGCCACAGCGGCCCAGAAAGAGGCGCGGTGTGCAGTGTAGACGGATTGAAGGCGGTTCATGTCAACGTGTTGATGGCTGACGATGGACTGGGCAGAAGGAAGAGGGCACTCCAGACGCAGGGGTGGCGTAATGGGGAGGCTGCCGGAGATGGACTGGAAGGTGGCGGAGGGGAGAGCCGCGCTGCGAGGCTCAGGGAGAGGTGTGGGATACCCGCGGGTGGGGGAGGCGGTGGGAGGTGGCAGTGTCATGCAGACCGGCTTAGGGAGGATGGCGGGGAGCCTGGGAGAAGCCTCGTGGCCCATGATGCTGGGAAGTTGCATGGGGGCCGGCGAGTGAGGGGCGTAGCTGGTTGAGCTGCCTGGGGGAGAAACCGAACGAGGAGTCGACTCTCGGATCGAAGAAGGCATCGTCGGTTGCATGACAGGTGAGTGGGTGGTGGAAGAGCCAGAAGAGACCGAGGTGGCACGCTGCTTGCGTCGGTTGCTACCGTGGCTAAGCTGATGGTAGTGAAGGCGACATGCCAGCTCAGTCTTCTTCAGGTGAGCGGCGATGTGCTTGTAAGGCATCTTCTGAAGACGAGTCTGGAGGAGATAGACTTCCTGTGGTACGGTTAGACATTGTGGTCTCACATGTGACTCTGGATCGCAGCAGTCCTAGACTATCCGAGTGAAACATACCTCATCCTCGCTCCATGCTCTGCCTCCTCCGGTTGAAGCCGCCTTGCGGTTCTTGGTGATTCCATATTCATGACGATCCATGGCGTCGGAAGTGGGAGTGTAGGTGGCCGTGTGAGGCGCCAATTGCATCGTGGGAGACATTTTTGCTCGTTAAATCGTTTCGGAACAGTCGATGTTGCGTCGTTGTACCTCTCAGAAGTAGGGTAAACTCTTGTGTCTCTCGGTGGAGAATCTTCACGCGTTATGATGTTCGCGGTGTCCTGGAAGTTGGGTTTGATAAGAAGAGGCAGAAACTTGCTGCCAACGAATCGAAGGTTTGAAAAAGTTGATTGTTGAAGAAAGGTGGTGTCCCAGCCGGAAGCTCGCAACAACGAAGTCGGCCTTTTGCAGATCCGTCAAGGAGAGAGGAAACGGATAGGCGAGTGGGGGAAGGTCCCAAAGAAGTGAAGTGAAGTTCGTTTGTTTGAATAAACCGGATAGGTCAAGATATATTGACAAAAAAGGTGGTGTTCAAGAAGCGTAGTCAAATGAGTGTGTGCAGCCAAGCCAGTTGGACAATGAAGGAAAGTAAAACCCTAGCTGCGGGAGAAGAAAAGAAGGACACGCAACTGCGCTTCAAGAAGACGAAGAAAAGGGATGTTGATGATAAACCCAAGTTAGGTAGAGAAGGTAAACAGAAAGACGAAATCTGTTCGAGATGGGGGGAGAGAGGGAGGATAAAGTAATATTGCAGCCTCAGCCAAAGTTGGACCTGGGCCCCAGTCTCTTCTCAGTTTCTATCTGGCAACTGGCAAGACGAGACAAGACGGGACCAGCTCTACCAGCATTAGACCGTATCTGTCCCCGTACCAGACAAGGCACCACCCACACACACGCCCAAAGAAGAAGAGCGGGTGGGCAGGCATAGCAAACATTGCCTCATCATGTTCGGGCGCTGGTACATGCAGGACAGGGGGTTCGCACACCGTCAAGTCTAGCCCTGTTGCAGATATTCAGCAGTGAAGCCAGCCAGACCCTGGAGAAGATGGGGTGGATGTGACAGAATTAGCAGAGCATAACGTTTGGTCTGATCCGCCTGGCCTGCTGCCATCCCCATTCACTGAAGGGGGAAAAGGAAAGAAAATGTGTGTGTGTGTGTGTGTGAGAGAGACCCAGCAGACAAGAGAGACAGAGAGAGAAACCAAGACCAGGGCCGGCAATGCTTGTGCAAGCCACACCCTGTTTGACCACACCCCTGTACGTAACTTGTTCGAGGGCAGGGCCAGAAAGAGGAGACGGACGAGGAACAGGCATGGGTGCGAGATTATGGATCCGGTGAGAGACGAACGTGCGTCTCAACCGGCCGCCATGATGGATCGAGAAAGAGAGCAGCCAGACTCAAGTGGCGCCCGCCAATAGACAAGCCAAAGTAAAATGGATGATTGCCCGCAACGAGCTGTAGCCTCGGAGGCTCGGATGCAGGATGAGCATAGACCAAGCCTAGGGCCCCCCAGAGATGGAGCTTTCATTGAAGACTCGGGGAGCAAAACAGAACAAGAGAGATTGGGAAGAAGAGGAGAGAGAGGCTCTTGCAAACCTGGAACGTGGTAAAGGAAAGCCACCAAATGCGTGCAGCGTAGCGTCTCCATTACCGAAAAGAGCGGTGTCGTGCCTCCGATTTGTTTCTTCCCCTTCTTCGTCAAGGGGAGTGAGTGCCTGGGCTCCATGCAGATTCAGTATAGAGCCTCAACTTGGCTAGTTTGTTGCAAGCATCTTGATGACCCGCCAGCTGGTTTTGGTTTCGGCCACGGCACATGGTCGGTGGATCTTGTTCATGACTGATGAGGAGGAGGAACTCTAGAGAATTCGGTCCTCTTTCTCTCTACGGAGTATGGTATTACTGCTGAAGGTAAGGATGGATACTCGTGTTGCGCGCGTGGCAGAGCGCGGCATAGTATGGGGCTTGGGATGGCGTGGCATGGCATCGCCGAAGGCTGTTTTGAAAAGTAATGTAACTTGACTCAGAAAACAAACCATTGATCCCTCCCGAGACCTCGACAAAGTTGACACCGTCACGCTGGGTCGGGTGGCTCGCAACAAGGAAGAGGGTGTTACTATTTGCGGTCGACAACTGGTCTCAAGTCACGATAAGCATACGTTTGCTCGCTGTCGATCTCGCGGAGGCTTTGGCGAGGATGAGGGGGGGGAAGCATAGGAAGGGGAATGGCTGTAGCGTTTTGGGGCTCTGCGTAAGGTTGCAGTCTCGCACTTGCAGAGGGGATTCTTGGAACAACGATAGCGAGGTATTCGTGGGATCCGAACAGGTATCTGTAGGCTGGACAAGGCAGAGGGGGAGAAGCAGGGGCTCTGCGGGTACGCGAGGCATACATTCGCGGCATATGCCCAATTGAGAGGGAAACGGGGTATTGAGCAGGTTGTTTTTCCTCGTCTCGGTCTCGTATGGTATAGCGCGCGTGTACGAAGTATTGTACGTGCGGTGCGGTGCGGTGAGGTGAGGTGCGGACGGTGCGGTGTGCGGTACAGGACGCTTAACTGTGTATTGCGTATCCGTACGGTAGGTTACGATGTGTAGAAGGATGAGGAGAGGACGCGCAGGCTGCATTGCGGCATGGTCGTCGCAACCGCCGGCCGTCGTGGCATGGCCGGTGTACTCGGGATGGTACCTCGAGACTCAAGTGCCGTTTTGGTGAGGAGCGGGAACTGGTACACTAGTAACGGGCGGCGAGCGTTGGTGTTGATGCTGCCGCTGATGTTGTTCAGATTGTTGCAACTTGCGGGCAGTGGTCGTCGTCGTCGTCGTGACGGGATCGTGACCCTGTGTCTGAAGGTTGTGTGAGGATGTCTGTCTGACGTTTGACGGCGGGGTCAAGCGATGGACGGTACGTGTTACAGAGGCGCGCCTGTGACTGCCATTGGCCCGTTTTCGCGGCAGCCCCTGAGCCTTCCTTGCGAGTTGCGCGCACAGAAGGGTAAGGCACGCTAAGCGGCTACTAGTCTGTATTGGGTCAAGTCAGGAACAGAAACCACCATCACCCCGGCCAGCCTCGCAACCGTGACGGGTACGTAGCTACGTACTGGTAGCGTCGATACGTATCGGTTCCCGAGGCAAGTGAGCCCCACCTTACGACCCATCCGCAGTTTCCACCTCATTGCGAACCACCGGTGCGGCGGGGCCGAACACCCCTGTCTACTGTAACCGTCCTTTTGTTCACAGTGAGTGAATCTCTCCTCTGCCTACGTAGTGTGGTGTCTCCGTACGCAGTTATGGATACACCATTATCACAGTCAGTCAGTCAATTCTCGAGGCTTGAGGCTCGAGCCTCCTTGACTTCGTCCCACGTCGTCGTCTCCCACTAGGCCCCGTTGCGGCTTGCCGTGTAAGAGCCTCCTCAATGGGAACAATTGCGCCAGAGCCGCTACTACCATAAGGTAGGGAGGGTATCGACGATTCGACAGGCCCAGATGCCAACCCGGCCGTTTGGTTTGATGTCAGGGCTATCCCCTTCAAGGCTTCAATAGTAGCGCCGTCCTGTCTGGGACACCGAGTATCCTAACGGATATTTACTACCAGTTAAGAAACTTTGCGTAAGAGACATATTCTTGGCTTCGTCGCCCTGGACCATGACACGGCTGACGACTGTATTTGCACGAATAGACTCTTCCCGTGGTCCCATCTGATGATCAACAATTTTGGCACCCCTACCCCGCGCGACCTTGTCGAAGCGATGTGATGTGATGGCGTGTCCAGCCCAGGTTTCTGGTTTCTGGTGTCCGGTCTCCTTGTAAGGTGCGAAGTAGAAGCATAGGCGTTGGCATCTGCATCGAAACATGAGGCTGTTTCTTGTGCGTCCCCCTCTGACGCCGCCTCGGCATCTGCGCTCAGAGACTAACAATTCTCACGGCGTGGTGGCCCATGGATGGTGCACTGCGTACTTGGTGCAAAGTGCTCGCTCATCAGAAACCAACAGTAGAGTGCCTGTCCATCTATTCTCCATATGCGACATTGCTATGGCAGTCATTGGATCACCCGACATAGCGGCATGTTTGTCTAAATTGACTGCCCTACACTACGATGCCATCCAGGACTAGGATGCAGTCACCGCATTGCAAGTTGAATTGCCCGCACCCATCCATCCGCAGCCAAACTTAGCACACCCTTCATTCGGGTGTCATTGAAAGTCTCCGTACCTTATATGAGGGAAACTTACGGATAAACACGGACAGATGCTATTCATAAGACTTGACATTGGATAATTATCCTTTCCAGACACGCACTTCGTCATCGGCATCTCAACGTGGCCTCTCACACACATACTTTTCTCTTTTGGTTGGTCCACGGACCACTCAGTCAGTCACTTTCTCTCCGGCAGTCACAAGTGACAAGTTGACCAAACAAATGAATTTGTTCTACCGCAACTCACCTGTAGGGCAGGCACTGGCAGGTTTGTCGACATTCCCTTCCTTGAGATTCGAAAGTATCCTCCCCCGCCTTCCGTGGGTGCCGAGCCGCACCAAAACATTGAAACTCACACCACTTTCCTGCCAAGATGTGGAGAGAGTAATAAAAACGCTTCACCTGTTTTCGTAACGACAGCACAATTAAAGGGAGAGGGCAGGTTTTGTTCGTACAGGAAAAAAATCTCCAGAGAGCCAGGGGTTAGTACAGAAGGGGGGTCTAGTTTCCAGAGGAGGGGGACTTTGCTCTTTTTCGCTCGTCAAGCCGTGATCATTTGGGAATCCCAGGCCGTTGTTGCCTCTTGGTGAATTTCCATGTCCTGGGCCCACGTCCCTTGAAACTCGCTAGTAAGCAGGCGCAATTTCACCCACGTCTCAGCCCTTTCCCTCTTGGTCGCCCTTTCCCCCTGACGGCACACTATGTACGATACGTACCGAAAAGGTGTGGCCCTCCAGCTGTACGTACCCTTCCATCCGCTTTAATCGTGGGCTTGAGCCACTCACACAGCACACATGCCGCTCACCCCGTGACTGAAACCAATCAAAGGTGTGGCTGTCGGCTTCACCTTACTGTACGCGATACGTACCCTCAAACCTCTTTTTTCGTCCTTCTTTCTTCCCACACCCGGGACTTCGTCACCCCTCCATTTTCCTCCTCCATTTTCCACCACTCACCTCTCTTCCCGACGACATCTCTCAAAAACTCAGACAGACGCACGCTGCGAACAGACAGCCGACCATCCACACCCTCCCCTTCCCTTCCTCTGACCGACGGGACGAACATGGATTGCAAGAAACAACAGAGGGACCCTAATGCAGGAAACCTTATTTGTTTCTTAACAGATCTCTGCTGAAACTGAATCTGGCTTGCACCATGCCACCATGCCACCATCTCCAACGGGGCGTTTCCGCTTCCAGGCACTCCCCTCCAAACGGTCTCTACTACTCTCGAGTCTCTACGGAGTACCTTACAGAGTATGGATACACTACCGTACCGTCTGGCGTTAACCCCGCTCATCACGCGCGCTCTTTCAGGTCCATGGCCCTTTAATCGTCGTCCATTGAGCTTCCCTCACCCCATTCTGCTACTGTCGCCCGCCAAAAGTTATGGCCGAGAGTCTGGGCGGCTGGGCCACACCACACAGAGTTCGACATGTCTGAGCCAAAACTCGGTCTCGGGCCCCCTCCAGCGTCTACCCTCATCAGGAATAGGATTCGTCTGACCTTTTCGCCCTACCAGCCTGTCAAACCAGACTACTGGCACGCTGCCTAACCTGACGGATGGGTCCACCGAGTCATATGCCGTCCTCTACTAGCCACCACGATTCACAGGTCGTAATTTACATCCTACAGGAGCAGAAACATTCTCGCCGCCGCAGCACTAACAGAAACAGGCTGTTCCTTGGGCAGCTTCACTGAAATTGAGAAAGCCGAGCCACCATCGGCGCCATGGAGATCGAGACACAGCCCGCCGCCGCCGCGGGCTGCTCGTGGCCCCCAATTCTCCGTGGCAAAACCATGAGTTGCGGCCGTCCGTTCCGGGACTTTTCATTCTCCTTGCGCGTTGCGCACAATGAACATCGTCCGGCCGCCCGTTTGGCCCCCGTCCCGTAAGCTCTAGCAAAGCCACGATACTGAGCGGAGATAAACCATGATTGATTACCCTCTCGAGCGTCAACCCCGGCACCAATTAAGTTCCGCCATCCAGGCTCCAGCGTGTAACCTGGCGGCCCTACCAATCGATGTCCCTGATCGCCCAAAATCCCCCCCGGCATGTAAGAGCCTCCATCCAGCCAAGAAGGCTCAGAAACAAAGGGCCTTGCCCCTCCATACGACCAAGAAGTGGAAGCAACATATCACGGGGCGGATGCTCATCATCCGGTTCAACAACGGCCAGGAAACTTTTGGCCGGCATTGTGGGAAAAGAGCAGGAAGACTCAATATCGGGATACCTGGGGTATTGAAGGGATCGCCCGCATCCCGCGAGTCCAGAAGCGCCCGCACCCAGACCTAACCGGTGGGAAATGCAGACCAAGAAGGTCTCCGATTCTTCCAGGAGGAATCGCCAAACGTCACGCCCCCTGTCTGCCACTCTGCCATCTCATCTCCAATCTGGTGATGGCGGTGATGATCTTCGGGAAGGCCATCAACCGAAGGCAAATATTGACGGGCGCAAGTGTGGTTGGTGGAGTTAAGATGTCATAGAGGAGGCACAAACGGCCGCATTAATCGAACCCGTGGTTGGTTCGGATTCGCGTCAAGATCCGCCTACCATGCCTGGTGCTGGGACCGCACCGGACTCGACTAGATGAACAGTAACGCCCGGTTCCCTGACAGAAGCTTGGCGATACTCTTTTCGTCTGATCTCTCGACCGATGGATTGGGGCGGCCCCACAATCAACGGTCCTCCAACAGTACACTACGAATACAAGTGATCCACGGAGGACGGAGGCTAAGAAGAGCGAGATTACAGGTCCCGGCTTTGACACTGTCCGCTGCATACACCGTTCAAGTCAAATTCCTAGTGTAATAGGCCAGTTCATCTGTCGGACAGCCGGATACTACAACTGCTTATCGACAAATAGATTCGGGAAAGCATACTAATCACCATTCGGAGGGTTACACAGATCCCGCAATTTATTCAAGGAATTGTCTGACATGGTGCAGAAAAGATGCCTAGGAAATGGAACGTCGCCATACCCAGCTTGTTCCGCGTGTCTCGCATTACTCGGCCGAGTAAATACGTGGAGGTTGGCCGGCCCAGCCTTGTGGGCCAGTGCTCCTGCTTTCCATCAGGGCGTCCCATGCGACGTTCTCTCCCTTTTGCTTCAAACCAAGAGCCCCGAAATACATAGGGGGTGAGCCTCTGCCCTTTAAAGCAGGTGGAAATGCAACAGAGCTTTCGAGCAGCGGCCCCAATTGTTCATGACGCCACGGATCATCGTTGGATCGTCTGGTCGTCGGCCGTCTCAGCAACTCGCATGAATCCTCATCGTCCAATGTCTTGGAAGCGGCACTTTGAGAGAAAACATCGACAGAATCGACAAACTTGCTCGCGACGGGCACTGACCAGCGTTCCGATTCACGGCTTGGCCGAGCCCAGGGCCACCCTGCGCGAAGACGTTGGGGTGAACGTGTCTTCAGTCATATGTTGCTCAAGAGCCGCGAGTCTCAAACAATTGGTGCCGGAACCCTGTGACCAACATCGTTTCATAGCTGGGGTCTCTCAACCCGAACTGCCAAGGAGGCATAAAGTCTGTCCATGTTCGGAACGAACATGCACGTCCTGGCAAGGAATGGATGGCTTCACGGAGTCTGATTGCCCTACGCGCATGAAAGCGAGAGACCGGATGGCAGTAGACGTGGCCGGGTCAGGGCTCATGAGGCCGTTTTAGGTTACCTGTCGACAACATGAAGCTAAACGACAGCATCCAACATGAGCTTGGCATGAACTTGGGGCTCATTTTTTTTGGTGGTCATGGGGCTCATCCTCACGCCTGGTGCGATCTGGGGTCATTGCCAGGGTCGGGCGAGCCACCTTGTTTCGTCGCCTTTTTTTCGGTGTTTGAAACAATTCTTGTCTTGGGAGAATAGCAGCATCGCTTTTGTTTTGGCGGTCAAGCTGCGTGGGTACCGCTTACGTGGGTGCGCGGAATACGCGGCCAATTGCACAGAATGTGCCGGCGGTCAGCCTCATCAGCCTATCTATATCTCTCTTTCGTTATCGTGACGAGCACTCACGGGTTCATTCACGATGCGACTCTCGTGGAGCAGCAAGTGGGGAGTGGTGATAGCGATGGACCGCGGCATCTCGGTCATCCTTGTCTCCCCGTCCCGATCTGGTCACGGCCAAGTGGAACCCTAAGCGCCCGGAACCGATGACAACCGTGCACTTCTGAGGCAGCTCGGTCTCCAGGATCCCGGTACCCCGGCACCGACCCTCTCCCGATGTGACCTGGGAAAAGTCGGGCCTTCGGTCCGCTGCCGTGAAGTTACTGGCTCCCGTTCCCCGTCCCGGATGATTACGAAAGCTGGCCAGGCCGCAGGCTCCGCACCTCGGCATCATCGGAGGGCCACCGCCGCGCGGAAACTTTGGCGTGCTGAGCAAAACATTTCCGCGGAGTCGTCCGTTGCATCATCTCCAATTGAACACCATGGTATCTCGACCGTATGTTCTAGCGTAAAGCGTTTTCGATCTCAACCAGACCGAGTTCTTCATAGAACAAAACATCAAAACTCGAATGGACGCCCAGGTGTCTTTTCAGACAGAGCCTCGAGCGCAAGCTGACTCTCCAATTCTGACGTGAAGGCTGAGACAACGGGCCAGCATCGCGCACTGTTGGACCACGAACACGTCTGTGAGCGGTCCGACGCACAGAGAGGGAGGCGTCATCACAAGTTGAAGATGGAGTAAAAGCTACCGGTCTGGATGAACTCGCCATGGTAGAGCGGCCGCTGAGTAGAGACATGGTATTATCACAAGGACTGGAGACAATGACTAAGCCATGAAATACTATGGATGGATTTTGCGCAGCCGGCATCTAGTCAGGCAAAGCAATTTAGATGCATTCCGCATTGCTATAACTATGTCATCTGGTTTCCAAATGCCAACCTAATCGACTCGAGATTCAAGACTCAAGATGGGCGGAAAGGTACATGCATCGTTGAGGTACTGTACGTACCGCGCAGAGTCCCATGTTGTAGTAGGTGTCCACCAGCGGTACCACTGACAGGAGGTACATAAAGCGAGGATCAAGTACTTGGACCATGCAGGCGGTACATGGAGTACATGTAAGGTAGTTCAGAAAAACTGCCAAGAGAACAATTGCGACGAGTACCTACGCACTTTTGATTTTACCTTTGACCTTGAACGCAGCACAGGTCGCATTTAATAACACTGCCAGAACAAGAAGCTCAAGTGAAGATGGAGGTTGGTGGAGGGGACGAGGCTGAGAGATTATGCGATAAACTTTTCAACTTGTGTTTCCCGTCCTCTCGCGTTTCTCCTCCAGCTCCCGTCAATGGTCAATCAGTCGTTGGAGCACCTTACTTGCTGCCTCGCCCGTTGGCCATTCAGTCAGGCAAACAAGATGAAATAAAAGTGGCTCAGAGGGGTTGCCATTTGCCTGGCACACCTAGTTGAAGGTTGGATGAGGAAAGTGGCTGAGATGAGGTGCGGTGAGGTGATGTGGGTTTCCCCGCAAGAAGAAACGCTTGTGACCAGTGACCTCAGTCATCAACTTCAGGCAAAGCGCAGCAGCGAGCGACACGACACACGGCAGGAGCGCATGGCCGAAGGGTCCGAGGCGAGCGAGCTGTCAGATCTGACCGACAAACTCGGTGTGCCCAACGCGTACATAGTAAGGAAGCTGTCTTTCTGGCTAATAACCTATCTGGGTACAACGAGATACGAGCAGCGGCAGCACACGGGCGTGGTTCACAATCGCATCGGATCGTATCGCTGGCAAAGGAAAGTAGAAAGTACTTCTCTGTCGTACGTACCTGCTTGGAACTTGCCTCTGGATGGGATGACCTGATAGATTGAGGTGAGGTGAACAACTGGCAGCTGCCCGGATGGACGAGGAAAAGTGGAACAGGGACAAGGCACGGAGCAGCCACTGAGCATTGAGCCATGACGAAGTGTCGAGTGACAAGTAAAAGTGATCCGTGCAGAGCGAGGGGAAGACGGTCTGTGCCAGTGGTTGAATGTCGATGACCGAGGCACAAAGATAGAAGATTGGAAGGTGCCTTCCTGCCAAACAGTGCTGTTTTGGCTGCAAAGGTGGAAGCAGCGCAGCTTGCCGGTTAATAGTCGGAGTGTTATCGTCACTTTCTGCCTGACCGAGGACCCGCTGAAATGGCGTCGAGTGGCCCCTCCTTTCCCCCCGCCTGCCTCCCTCGTTTCTTTTCCATGTTCCCTCGCCCTCCCCCTCCCCCTTAGCAATTTTCTCTCCTGACCCCTTCCACCACCCACTTTCTCCCAGCAGAAAAAAAAAGAGGGCAACCAGAAACATCACCGTGAACTGGGAAGTTACTTCCATCAGAGGTACATACTTGGATCATCGCGAGCCATAGCATCCCAACTCCCATTTTTCAAGTCCCAAGTTCCCAAACCAACCTGCACTACACTACGGATACCCAACCCGACATCATCAGCTCAAGGTGTGCACCAGCTCAAGCTCCACCTCCACACTTTTGCTTCAGGTCCTTGCCGCTACAGCAAACCAAGGTATCCGTACAGCTACATACAAAGCTACAGCTGCGAATACACGGTACCCGACTACGCACCCAGCCAGGTACCTCGCAACTCTGACGGATACATCACCTCACGCGCTTCACCTCAACCTCACCTCAAAGAATACCTACCTACCCAGACCGAAAAGTTCTGAGAGCTTCAAGGTCAACGAAAATCCCAAGGTGAGCAGACACCAAAGCTACAGACGCGCTGCCGCCGCCCACACTATTGTCGCGCATCTATCCACACCTACACCACTTTGACGTTGCCGCAACCGCAAGGGAACGGACATCTCCACCATCGTCGCCCGTCATTGTTAATCACCTCACCTCACCTCACCTCACACCTCATCATCGCTCACAGAGCTTTCCAGCTGGCATTGACGCTGTTGCTGTCGCTGTCGCCATAGCTGCGGTCGTCACCACATTTGCCTCACTTGCGCGCCGCCAATCCCACGCACCTCCATCTCTTTCCGCCTTTGCCACCAAGTATTACACACGCATCACTCACTGGGCCTATCTCATCAACGTCCACCACTTTTCTAATTCTTTGCCTTTCCTGCAGACGTTGGCTACGTCTTACCTCATTGTACACGCATACACACCGAATCGCGTCGCAATAAGGTACTCCGTATCCGAAGCTTCCTATCTGTCTTTGCTCCATCTCTCACTTTCTCTCTCTCTCTCTCTCTCTCGCGCGCGCCATCGCCTGTCCAGAAACTGGTTCGAGACAGCTTTCATTGCTCTTCTCGCTCTTTATTACCTATTCCTAGCTGTCTCCGCCCGTACGGATAAACGCACCCAATTTAGGATCGCCGTCCATTGTTGATTGACCCTTGATCCGAGGAACCGCCACCGACCACCAGCTGGACCCAACTCATACGCGCGAACCAACAAGCAACGCACGGCACATCTCGCGCACTGCCTCCAGCTGCCTGTCTACCTACCCGTGTCTACTTGCGCCTGTCTATCTGAACCTCGACGTCCTTCACGAATACATCACGCTACCTCGTTCTGGCTCCGCCGCTACTTGTCACTACCCGCCTGCCAGACCTTATCTCGCGATATACCACACACACCTCACTTTACCTACCTGGTCTGCTTTATTTGGACTCCTTCACCTGATTACCTTGTACCAGGAAAGAGCAAGGGCACCGCAACTTTCGGTACCTTCCGTATATTTTTTTTTTTTGAGCCTTCCACCGCTTCCCACCTTCCGGGGTGCCGTCATTCGCACTTTGTTCCCCACATCGAAAGGGAAATCACCCATTCCTTCCCGCCAACGAATACCGCGCGCCGCGTCGCTCTATGCCGCAGCAGCGCACCTTCCTTCACCTGACGTCCAATTACCTGACGATTACACCTTTCACCTGCTTGCACACCTGAGCCTTCCAGGTTTTGCCAGCCTCTCCTCTCCAGTCTCCAGCTCCGGCCGTTCCCTGCCGTCCATTACGAAGATCCACCTGGTTTTCGCCGTTATCGTTGCTCACCTCACTGATTGCTGCACTGCCGCTTGAGGTGCTCATTTTTGTTTTTATTTCGTTTCCTCTTACTTTCCGTGTCGCGTCCCGTACGTCGCTTTCGGTCGCCCGCACCACACGTATTGGCACCGCCCGCGCGCACACACTGAACGAGAGTCCTGGACCAAGACCAAGACCAACACAGTACCTGCCTTCCTTACCTTACCTTACGCAACGCACCTGCCACCCGACCTCAACCAGCCAGCCAACCAGCCCAGCCAGGTCAATTGGAACCACAAGGCAGGCACGCCGCACCGCCGCACCACACAACCCGGCAGTAACCACCCCCAGAAAAAAGAGTACTTGAAGCAAACACGTCCTCGGCCTCGCGCGCCTTGTATCTTTGTCCCCTTTATTCTCGCCTCTACCTCGCACCATCCCTCCCTCCCCCCCTTCCACCTTCCCCCCTCCCACTGCCACTCCCACTCCCACTCCTTCCCATCATTTTCTACCGCGTCACTTCGTCACCTCACCTCATCCCTCCCATCCATCCGTCATCCCCCCCCCCCCCAAAAAAACACCCAAAAACCCCCCCAAAAACCCGCGCCGCCCCCCCCCAGACGCACCCCCCCCCCCCCTCCCCTCTCCCCCCCCCCCCCCCCCCCCCCCCCCCCCCACCCCCCCCCCCCCCCCCAAAAAAGCCCAAAAAAAGCCCTTCCCAACCCCGGGCGTGTGCGTGACCCGCTTCCTGTCTTTTGCGACTCAGGCTTGGTCCAAGTCTCTCTTCCACCCCCCGAGAGAGCAGAGACCAAATATTCCCCATCCATCAACCCGTCGGTTTATGCATCGTTGTTGAGTTAATACTACCACTACATTGCCCGTAAGTACCTGCACCCTATTTCCTATGTTCCTTTTCACCCGTTGTCCCGATTGAGGATCAAATCACCACTTGTACCTCAATCATGGAATCGTCGCGCGCATACAGATACACTTGGCTTCATCCGCGTTGATGCTGTCGCGCGCGTCTCTTTCTCATCGAGGCTTGTTCGTGTTGTCGACGCCCTCTCGTCAAAGTTTTTCTGCCTCACCGCGTCTTCGCAAGCACGTCGGTGAATCCTCCCCCAATAAGCAACGCCTTGCTCTGCGCGCGCACTCGACTGCTTCACTCTTCCTGTCTGTACCTTCAATCATGTTCCATTTCATACCTTCGTCTTCATCGCGCCTTGTGAGGATTCTATCGGACGCTGGGTTCTATCATCACTGTTGTCTTCGCCACACACAATGGCAGTCATGTACCCTTTTTTCCCTCTCATCGGAAAGCGCCCGTGTCGCGTTCGCGCCTTACCTCCGGGCGCAGCGCGGGCCCCGCCCATGACTCTTGCGCGACAGCTTTTTTTTTTTATCTTTTGTTTCTTCGGGTCGCGAATCAATTGACCGCGGTACACACGGTACTAACCTTTGGACCTCTTGTTAGATCATGCAGCAGTGGCAAGTCGGCCCCGTGCCGGAGTACATCTACTCCAACTCCACCCATCAGCCTAGCGACATGCAGTAAGTACCTCATCCACCTTGTACCCCTCGATCTCTACTTTCGTCCCTGTGCCCAAAGTCACTCTTGCTCTCCCCCGTCCCGTTCGTTCGTTCGGTCGCTCCCCTTCCCTTTCCATCCTCCTCCGCCCCGCGAGGCTGCGTACGGTGTACCGACACCTACCCGTGATCCAGGGGTACATGAACATGTACCTCTGGAATACCTTTTCCTTTTGAGCAACCCCGGCCATACTGGGCCTGCTCCGCGGCGCAAAAGAGGGTGTAACGGACAACAACAACAATAACATGACCCTTTTCCTTCCGCCGTCGATGCATGCACGCACGCCTGGGCAACACGACCTCTCGCGAGGGGCCGTTAGTCCTCAGGAGTCTCGTCTCCAGTCGCGACGTTGATCCCGTCGGAATGAAACTTTACTAACACTCCATCCTAGTCCTCAACACCCCTATCAGCAGGACATGTCTCGTCGGGATCAGCACCCACAGTTCCAGTACGGAGCGCCGCCTCACCAGAGCCCGGCACCGCAGCATCACCAGCCCACTCCGGTCCAGCCTCCGATGAGTGTGCCTCAGCCGCCCCAGCCGCCCCAGGCCCAGCCCCATCCTCAGCAGCAACAGCACCACCAGCAGCAGCAGCATCACCAGCAGCAACAGCAACAGCAGCAGCAGCAGCAACAGCAGCATGCTGTTCAGCCCCCGCCTCAGCCGCAGCCGGCACCCAGAAACCGCAAGCGTCCGGCCCCGGCCCCAGCTCAACAGGCCCCGCCGGTCACTAGCGCCCCTCCCATGCCGCCTGCTCCCGTTGCGCCCACCGCTACCCCCATCCCGCCGCCTCAGATCAACCCTCCCGTTGCCGCTCCTCCTCCCCAGGCCCAGCCCGCCGCCACGGAAGATGCCAACGCTCAGGCTCCTCAGCCTCCCCCGGCCAAGAAGAGCCGCACAAACACCCCCTGGACTCCGGCCGAGGAGCTTCGCCTGAAGCAGATGAGAGATGCCGGCAGCAGCTGGGCTGAGATTGCCAAGGTTCGTTCCATCTATGCTACCCCATTCTCCCATCACTAGCAGCCTACTAACATGAGCGTGTAGACGTTCCCTACTCGCACTGAGGGTAGTGTCAAGAAGCATTGGTACAAGGACATGCACTACGCAGAGTTCGCGGAAGACGAGGTTCGTGGCAGATGCTTCTAGTACTTGTTTTCTCCCTCAAGCTTGCTAACAAGTCACAGAGCCAAGCACTCCTCAATGCCATCAAGGAGTACGAAAACAACAAGTGGAAGGTCATCGGGCAAAAGGTCGGCAAGCCCGCCAAGGCTTGCGAACAGTACGCCAAGGAGCACTTTCCCGGTATGCCCTCTCTCAACATCACGTCGGTACGGCCGCATCCACATCAACGATACTAAATGATTCGTAGACCTCTACGCCAAGCCGACCAACCGGTAGAGGAACCTCAGCTCCATCGGCGGTTCTGAGGATACTCGGGAGATGGGCAACACTGCGAAACGGCGCTGGGAGTGTCTCGATGCGTTGGGATATACCAAATGTGTTTCTTCTTTCTCGTTCTGACGATCACAACGACCCGGACTCGAAAAAAAGACGATTCCCCCTTTGCACTTGTTAATTTTTTTTCTTCGTTCTTTCATTTGGAGGCTGGACTTTAATTACTTTTTACCCCCGACGTCTCAGCTCCACGTCTCCGGCACGGTCACGTCTGGTCGAAAACTTCTGTCTGCGGCGGATGTGGGGGAGATGGGTCTAGTAGGAGTGTTGGCCCTCATGTACGACGGTTTTGCCCTTGCGGGGCTTGCCTGTTATCAGTGTGCTTGGAGTTTCATAGCGCAACACGAAAAGGAAGTTGAGTGATGGCGGGTGATTGCCATACCCGTTTGAGAGATGGTCTGCGCGTGCGCACGTATGCGGGAGGACCTTCTATATGGTGTTGATATGTGCGGAGGGTTTTCCAACACAAGTCACCGGAAACCCACCTTTTATGCCATGTCTTAATTGCCAAAGGAGAAGAGGATATAATGATGCGTGGACAAGACTGATCGAAGAGGTCAGTCGACGAAGTCCAAGGACAAATCACACAGAAAAATAAGTTGCTTGCTTGGGAAAGGTGTCATGGCAGGAAGGAAGAAGGAATCGGTTACCGGGATTGTGAAATTGTTTCGATTCATGACGAGTCTATACCCTTTTAGTGTGAGAGAATTTGTGTTTTTGTTGTTGTCGTCGTCGTCGTCGGGTCTGCGAGAGGACTTGGTGAAGATGTACTCTGTATGATGAGTGAGTAATTGAGGTTATGGACTATTGAATTCTGTTTGATGTGACTTTGCAGTGACCACATGCCGTCTAAGATTTCTGAGTGAGGCATTGTAAGTCCAGTGACGATGAATGGGAGCTGGACTGAGATCAAGATTAGAAAACGCGAAGTTCGGACTGGTCTCAAAAGGATCATGCCATGGTCTTCATGGTCAACGTAGAATCAGTCCGAGGTTGCGTGTTGTGACAAGGATCATTGATCTCGACCATGAACGTATGAGCAATCTGCCGGATATACTGAGCTCTGTAGACATGTATGTATACGTCGTAATTGTGGTCGAGGTGGTGGAGAACAAGCATAGTCCCATGAGGTTGTATGGCATTAGGATGACTGGCGATACTACTGAAGTCTTGCTATTCTTCTGCTGGTTTGATTGACAACCGTAGCCCCCCCCCCCCTCGAAATATCAATCGTTTATTTGTAGCAATGCCGAAGACTTGAAACTACGAACATATTCCGTTATCGCGATTCGTGAGTGTTTGTGTAGGTAGCGTGGCAAGTTATTCATATTATTCATATTTGGCCATTTGAAAGAGTAGTAAATCGCCGTGGAATTACTACACATCAGTCGCATCCGTCAGCACACGTGACCAGGTGTACGACATTGCATTCAATGACAAAATGCTCATATAAGCCGATACAACAAGCCGGAGTTGATTGTGGCTGCGCTTAGTATCATTTCTACATCAGTTATACTGGCATGTGCTGCCCATCTTCCTCTGGGCCAATATCCTTGGCTTCCCGTGGCATTCTGAACATACGCTTTGTTGACCTGCCAATCCTGGGTACTCCATGAGCCCGCGATATGGGCATTTTCTGCCATGCCTTCAGTTGAAATAGGTAGCGTGGATATGATCCAAGAAGAAGGGATAGGAAGAGCAATATTGGAGTCTCACCAAACGCGCACCCCGAGAGACCATCATTTGTAGATAGATTTATTTTCAGCACAAGCGAACATGTAGAAAATAGTTTGGATCAAAACCCTTCACTGGCGAGACTGGACGGTTGTCAGCTCCATCTGACTGCACGAGGCTGCTGCCGAGGACGAACTTTCTATCAATCATGTCCGCAGGATTTCGGCGGCTGAGCGAACCTCCGGTCAGCCTCGTGCGCTACTCACCGTCTTCAGTAAGGCTCTAGTGTCGCTTGAAACTTGTAAGTTCCCGGTGGCAGAATTGCTGGATACAATGTACGCTGTTTCTGCGAGTGACGACAATACAAGCAAGACATAAGTTTAGGATATTATGAATGGCATGTACACGCGGCTTTTGTGACCGCCATTCTTCAAGATACACGTTTCACGATTTTACGTGGTGGCCCTGTAGCAATCTCAAGACTATACATCATCTCCGGTTTAACCGGGAAGCAAAGCTATTCGTATTACGCGTTTTCACAACTGTTGTTCTTTTCATTCTAGGTACAAAAGTGTGTAAGAAAGAGCTCATCTTCTTAAATATCTCTGTACGTGATTACCCGGCACTAATGTATGCCAGCATTACCGTATCTCTTTGAGTTCATCCTTTCTCAGGACCCTTAGACGCGTTCTCACATGATGCAAAGGAGACGAACGCCTGGGGCAACCCTGGCCGAAGGTAGGTACGCGATCTTGCGGCTATCGGGCACTTTCGTGTCACATGAGCACAACAGGCCAGGGTCTCGCTGCCGGTGTTCGTCTGTCAACGGCGCTGCATGCATGCGTGTGCGTCGTGCGTAAAGGACATACCGTGGGAAAGGCGTATCACAAAAGGAGATGATTGGCAAACACGCAATCCACTGTTGGAAGTTGCAAGACTCGAGGACCTGGCTCTCTGTCTTTTAGCTTCTATGATACTGCTGTTTCTCCTGTGTTTTTGTTTTTGGCGACCGTTGCTGAGCTAGTCTACGGATAAAACGACGGAAAGAAGATGAGACTTTGATGTTGTTTTTTGTGCTGGTGGCATGTGACGGCGCTTGACCGGTTCCGAGGAATGTGGTAAGTAAACAATGGGAGACGGGACAATGAAATGCGCCAACGGTGGGAGAAACGGCGTCATGCACCAAAGTCTGCTGATCTGGTTGACGGGACATTTCAGTCTGGCGTCTCGACGGGTTGAAAGCCAATGGTTTACTACTTGATATGTCAATGGCAAGAAAATTGTCCCAAGCCATATTCGATCTTGACATTTGATGGGTGGTCGGCTTGTTGGTGCTTCGATCCTAGGCTGCCGCAACGCAGCACCTGTCAATGAAGCGTCAAGGCTGTGTGTGCAACGAAGGATGCAAGCCCTCTAGGAGCTACATGCAGCCACAGAGCCACAGGGGGTGCAGTGACACACGGCCAGCATGCTACCTACCCGACGTGCCAACTGAGTTGCTGAGGTATGCTGCCATGGCTGCATTGATGGCCTGACAGATCATGTTCATCCAGCAATTACAGGCGATCAACAGGCGACAGGCGACGTCGAGAGAAAAGGAGTGTTTCCCGCGGTCCCCATGCCGCTATGCCGCTCTTGCCCCATGCACCGGGGGCGCACAGAGCACCTGGGGCGAAAATCACTGCAGAGCAAGACTTAATCGAATTGAAAAAGTGGACGGCCGAGGGAAAAGCCAGGGGTGGCAAGACACGGGGGAGTTGATCAGTGATGCCGTGATCTTCCAATTTTGGTGGGCAAAGTGAGGAAAGTATTGGTAAGATCATGCGGAGCTAAGCCTGAATGAGGACAAGTGGCTATGGAGAGTGGCCTGTGAGTGGACAGAAAATCATGATCTTGGGGATCCACAGAGAAGAAAAAGATGGGCAGGTGGCGATTGGACCAATACGAGGACACCATTCTCCGAACGAAGAGGTACCAATGGAAGGAGAGAAGCTGCACTCCAGTTCTTGTTTCCCCCGTATTTCCTTTTTCCAGGTTTCCCTCAAGAAGGGAGACGGGCAGGCACATGGCCAGGGCCAGGGTCAGGCTCTAACCGGCTTTGCCTACCCAAATGATGCCACGCTTGTCCCAATGGGGGCATGAGGAGCGGCTTTGATGCCCCACCTAGGTCCATTGGTCTGTAGCGGATAGGTTGAAGGAGACGAGGGAAGACGAGGAGGAGAAGCCTGGAGAATCCATCAATACTCCCTTGCGTGCCACTGAAAGACCCTGAGAAGAACTGGAGACGATGTCTGATGACTATCAGTAGTACGGAGTTGATTGGAGGGCATTTCAGAAAGGGGGAGTAGCACAGCCTGTGAAGCTTGTCGGCCTGTCTGGCGATGGAAGAGATGGATTGAAGGTGGTGAGATGCTGATGGACGTTGTAGTTGCCTTCCATTGGGTACCTGACCTTTTACACCCAAATACAGACACACACACAGCAAGGCAAGAGGCGCAGCATCCGTGTTAAGCGTAAATCAGGTAAGCGTAACTGTAACTGCCCCTTCGTACCTACCTACCTCCCAAGCGTGCTAAGGCGTAGCAAGGCACGCTAAATGGTAGTCGAGGCAAGGTAGGAGCAACAGTGAATCCAACAGTCAACACGGGCAGTCACCACCTACCTTAGGTACGGTAAGGTACCTACCTCAATGAGCGCCGTGAGCGCTTGCCTCCTGGTGTCCTGTCCTGGTTTGACTTCCCGTGCATTCCCACTGCTCCCGCCCTACCCATCCCTTCCCCCAAATTAATTTTCGCGGCCTGGGCTTTCAACCTACTCTTCCCTTCCATACGCACTCATCTCGTCCGCTACGGTCTTCACTCGTTCTTGACCTGCGCTTCTCGTTGTAATTACTACATACTACCATCGCTTAATACTCTCTCCTACACCTTCCTGTTGGAGCAAACTTTCGTTGCGCCTCCCAAGACGAACCTTTTCCCATTCTCTATCGTCCGAACGCCATCGTTCCGTCCCGAACCCACGCCGACTCGAGTCAATCACGAAGCCGGGATCCCCAGATTATCAGCCAAACTCTGTTTTTAATCTTCCGAACATCAGCAACTTCCATATCGATTTCGATCTCGACCCGGTCATTCGGACGAGCCTTGTACGACCACTTTCCGCCCTTGTCACAGACGGATACACAAGTCATCAGACACCCGAATTCCTCCCCGCCGCGGCAGTAAACACGCCGGCACTATCCCACCGTCACCCGCGGGCGGCGAAAGTCCAATAGATCACCATCGAACCTCGAACTTGGTTCGTAAAACCAATATCGACATCTTCTCGCATACTTGCCTGCGGGTCGCCAGCAATTTTTTGTTCGATTCCTCCGTTGTAACTCGTAATACAAACCCAGCACCACACACATTCACTCCAACATGTTGTCGGTTCTTCCCATGGGCCTTGCCCTCCTCGGTGCTTCTACCGTCCTCGCCCAGACGCCTCCCTCATGCTCCCTCACCCAGAAGTGCCCCGAGAGCGCACCATGCTGCTCCCGTAAGTTGTGATCATCATCCATAATGCCCAAAAACTCGAGTCTCTGACCATCGCAGAATATGGCCAATGCGGTACCGGTGCCTTCTGCCTCGGCGGTTGTGATCCCCGAATGTCCTTTTCTCTCGACGCCTGCGTTCCCGCCCCCGTCTGCCAGGACAAGAAGATGTCCATGAACTCGCTAGACAAGATCGTTGATATCAGCAAGTACTACGGTGATCCGAGCAAGGCCGACTGGGTTTCCCAAGGTGAGCCCGCGCTGTACAACAAAGAGGCCGTTCTCCTCACGATGCCCGCTAAGAGCGTCGGAACTGTCCTTGCCTCCTCTACCTACCTTTGGTACGGTAGTGTCTCCGCAAAGATCAGGACATCGCGTGGTCCTGGTGTCGTGACAGCTTTCATCTTGTATGGCGACGTGAAGGACGAGATCGACTACGAATGGGTCGGCGCCGACCTGGAGATGTCCCAGACCAACTACTACTTCCAGGGTATTCCCAAGTGTAAGTCGACTTGCCATGGCCCCTGACCCGAGCTCGATGCTGACAATCATTATAGACGACCAGTCTGGTAATATCTCCCTCTCTGACACGTTCAACAACTGGCACACGTACGAGATTGAGTGGACCCCCGATGAAATCAAGTGGATGGTAGACGGTCAGGTTGGCCGAACCAAGAAGCGCTCCGACACATGGAACGCGACTGCCCAGCAGTGGGACTTCCCTCAAACGCCCGCCCGTGTCCAGCTGTCCATCTGGCCCGGTGGTGCCGACACCAACGCCAAGGGTACCATCGACTGGGCCGGAGGTCCCATCAACTGGGAGCACGAGGATATCAAGAAGAACGGATACTTCTATGCCATGGTCAAGGATGTCGAGATCAACTGCTACAATGCCAAGAGCTCTCCCGGCACCAACAGCAAGAAGAGTTACTACTACAACAGCATGAAGGCTACCAACGACACTGTTGTGGACAGCGACAAGGACACCATTCTGAAGAGCTTTCTCGGCACCGGTCTCGACATGAACGCAGGTGCCTCATCGGCTTCCGGCACCGGCACCGCGGCGCAGCCTACCGCCTCAGCAGCCACGATTCCGGGTGGAAGCAGCTCTGGCACGGGCAACGACCACAGCGACAGTGGTAGCAGCTCCTCCGGCTCCGGGTCTTCTGGCTCAGGCTCCGGTGATTCATCTGGCTCCGGTTCCGGCAGCAGCAGCGGTTGCGGCAACAGTGGCTTCTCGCAAGACTGCAACAGTGGCTCCAGTGGCAGCTCTGGCTCAACAAGTGAGGGCTTCCGCCGTGAATCCTCTTTCGGCGCCAGCGCCTTTGCCGCACTTGTGGCTGCCACTGCTCTCTTCTGGCTATGAAGTACAGACTAGAGTGTGGCCTTTGGGTTTCAAAAAAAAAAAAATGGTATAATGGATAACGTGATGCGCTTGCTTGGTTTCGATTCGGGCTACTTGTATGTAATGAGAGCATTCCTTTCTTTGAAGCATTGTTATGAAGGCATTTTGGGTAATGGCGCTTGCCGTCCATTCATTTGGTAAGGGGATT